GTTCTTTTTTTTTTTTTTTTTTTTTTTTTTTAGATTAATCTAATAATTTGTTTTATCTTACATTTTTTACTTATTAGAATCTAATTTATAAATTAATTTAATATGTAGAAAAAATAAGATATACATAGATTTCTTTACACTCTTTTTCAACCCAATAATTATGAATTTTTTAATACCTAGATTTTATATAAATATATTGATATAAAAATTTTTTAAATGATTAAAAGTTAGTATTTTTTAAAATATTAACATAATAAAAGAAATTATTTAATCAATTGACATTTTCAATTTTGCAGTAGATGTATACAATTATATTATTTTAATTCATAATTCATATCTATTTATAATTATATATATAATATGATAAATATTTCTTCGAGGTGTAATTCCGGTGCAGCGATACGTAATAGCTAAATCAAAATGTCAAACGACAGAGCATTAAAATGCCATTCAATGATAAAGGAAAAAGAATTGAGATAATGAATAGGTCAGGCGAACAGCAACCGCCTTCGCGAACAATGACGAATTGCGCGCGGTAAAAAAAATGCATCGCCTGATGAGTGTATTAAATAAAGCAGGCGGATAAAAACATTGATACACACAGAAGTATCAAAGTGATTCACAAGCAGGCAGGCGCGACACACCGGAAGTCACTGATTGTTCTGAAGGGTGGTGAACTTCTGTCAAGGGTCAATCGCCTTTTTGCCAATTAAATGTGTGGCCCCGGCCCCCAGAAAGAATTTTAACGGCGAAAAAATTAGCGGATATAAATTTCAGACTACTCAAGCTAATTGAATTATATTCAATAAATAGCTCTAATCGAATAATTAAAAAATTTTGTTAAATAATGTTATTGTCTTGTTTTCTTTGCTTGACAATGTTTAATTAATAAATAATAAGTGATTGATTTTCATTGCACATTTAATATATTAGATATTATATAACTGAAATAAACAATAAAATATTTCCGAAATTTATCTATAAACAAAAATCAATTTGTTTATCTAAATTAGAGTTATCTATTTACAAACATCATAAAATAAAATAAGACTAAATAAATAAATGAATAATTAAACGATATTTTGTTCGATCAAAAGGCAAAGCGTAAAATGTTAATGATAATTTCATCCTGACAGCTTTACAATGAGATTGATATAATCATTATCTGCACATGAACGCGAAATGTATTTGTACAGCATCAATATTCTATAGCATGTAATGCTGTCTTTAATTATGAATATATACGTTAATACACGTTATATCCTGTGTAGTACATGAAGACATCAATTTGATTTAATAAACGAAATTATCGAAATGCAATATGTTTCCCGGAAAATATACCGCCTGCTCGTGAAAAAGGTAATTTAGCGATAAATTGAGAATTACGAGGTCATAAATGTCGCAAAAGATGGATTCTAGTTGTAAATTATGGTTCATAGAACGAAAGAGAACAGATTATAATTTACTAAACATTTTACATCAATAACAATTTCGCTAAAAATAAATACATTAATTTAAAATTGAACATATTTCGCAAAAGAAAATATCCATGCATGATTATTTATAATGCAAGATTTATTTTAAATAATTTAAAACTTAATTTTTCTCTAAAAAATTTGATTGCGCACAATCCCTTTTTCTCTACATTGAATAATTAATTTCATCACAAAATTAATTTTTTATTTATTAGTTTATTTATATTAAATATATGATATTGGTAAAGTGCAGATAATTGAAAAAACTAATTATGTAACTAAATTAAAATTTTATTCAATACAAAGAAAAAAGGATCGTTGCGTAATGGCCATGAATTATAAAATATAGATATTTTCATTTAGAAAATATATATACATATATGTATCAGTATATAAAATATAAAATAAACTTTATATAATTTTTCATAATTTTATTTAGTTTATTAAGACATATTTTTATACAGAAAATATATTTTTGAACAAGAAAGATATTAGTCTTTCCATTTCTAAAGAAATTTGATTAAAAATTGTTTTCTTTTTATCACTTTTTATAAAATATTTCATTTAATAATTTTAATCTTTGATTTATTTTAAAGAAACTTAAACTGATTGTAATACTTTAGCAAAATAAGTAAAACTTAATTGAAATAAAACAGATAAAATTTAATTTTTTCAATTCTAAAAAAAAATCACGAAAAATCTATCTATTTAAATGAAACTGAAAATTATTTTTTTGTTTTTAAAGAAAACGTTTCCCATAATCAAGAAATTTTGTTTTTATTAATTTTATTTAATATTTAAATTATTTATCAATATTAAAATTATTCATCTTTAAACATATAATTACAACTGTATAATTCTCAATAATATATTTCTGTTGAATAATATTCTTTGTTAAAAAATAAAATATTCTTTGTTTTTGTAATTTCCAATAATATATTTCTGTTGGATAATATTGAACACTTTCCAGCAAGCGACACAGACGATAGAATATCATTCTATCTTCTTTAAAGAAGATAGAACGGTACTGTGTCGTCTTTAAAGAGGCGAATGATACTCTGTGTCGTCTTTAAAGAGGCTAGACTGATATTGCGTTGTCTGTGTCGCTTGTGCTGGAAAACATCCATTCTCTCTAAATTAATGAAAGGAGTAAAATCTCGTGCTATCGATAAATTTACTCACCGGTTGCTGAATTGCTGTCGAATCGAACCGTCAATCGAAGAAATCTTTCAACTCGAAACGTATTGTCTTGTCCTTATGGCAGGCGGCGCAATTGGTTATGTTCTTCGATCGCGACGAGAAAAGTACTTCGCGAAGTGCGAGACACTTTTTGTACAGCACTCACGAGTTTTCTCGCCAAAGTGTTCGATCTCGTCCGACGAAAAACGCGAGAATGGCGACGACTATTTCCATTGCGGTCTGAAGTTTGTTCACTTCGCTGCGACACGAAACCAAACATGGCGATCTCTCGCTTATACCTTCATGCTGACTATACGACACGACGGTGTCCGACCACCGTTATTAATTCGACACACAACGATTCGTAATCCCGGGACACGGTACTTGGCGAAAGACGAGAGAACGCGGATGAGAAACTTTGTCGTGTAAGCCGGCACTTTGCAGTCGGAAACTTTGCGGTCGGAAACTTTGCATTCGCGACCGAACGTGATCGATCGTCCAACGTGCAACTCTGTCTCTCTGTTGTACACGTTCCGCGAAATTGTCCGACGACCGCGAATATCGCGCACGACGCGGAATCGCGGTAAACGCAACGCGGAAACGCGAAAATTGAGGGAGCACGCGATCCAAACACTGCTCCGACGCGCCGGCTACGAACTCCTGCGCAAGATGGATGCGCATAGAGTCGCCGCGATCACCGCGCCGACTCGCGTACTTTCCGCGGTCACATGACCACAGGTCACATGACCTATGGTCGCTTGAGTGCGAGCGACGCGCGCGCGAATTCTGAAAAATAAAATTACAAATAAATTATATTTAAATAAAGACTGAAAAAAATGTGTATAAGAAATATATCTAGATTACATAGTATAATACATATATTATTGTTAAAAAGAATTTCTTCTATCTTTTCTTTAAAGGCGATAAATAAATCGACATAAAATATTAGTCTTTTGGACCGATGGTTTAAATTAGCAGGGTTGCCGAACCCAAATATTTTTCATAAGCATGAATAATATCTGGTGTTGGCTGCCCTGCTGATTTTAACTATTGCTTCACGAACTTCATGAAATTGACTCTAAGAATTCGCGTTAAAAAATTACACACACACACATTTATAAATATATTTATATACACACATTTATACATATATTTGTACACACATATATTTATATATATTTGGTTATATATATACTGATACAAATAGCAGGATTATTTAATGTATACTTTAAGACTTTTATTTCGTGATTGTCATCGTGTTTATTAATGCTTATCTTCGAAATTATTCTCATCTAGAAATTCATCAACTATAACCATCATTTTGCTATACACGAAAAACTCTCGACTTTAGCAGTATTAATTTCGAGATCTTTAGAAACACTAATATGATAAATACAATAAGAATATCAATCATATTCAAGTTATAATGCTTATGTGTTTATCTCGTCGAGAAATTCATCAATTATAATGACGCCATCATTTTGCCATATACGAAAAACTCGACTTTGGCAATATTGATTTCGATGTCCTTAGAAACACTGATAAATACAATAAGAATATCAATCGTATTCAAGTTATAATGTTTATGTGTCTTCGAAATTATTCTCGTCGAGAAATTCATCAACTACAATGACGCTATCATTTTGCCATACACGAAAAACTCTCGACTTTAGCAATATTGATTTCGAGGTCTTTCGAAACACTAATGATAAATACAATACCCAATACAATCAGAATATCAATCGTATTCAAGTTATATATAACGTATAAAACGTTTAAGCGAATATTAATGAACAAAAACTACTTACGTCAAGCAGAATCGAAATTGTTCAATGCTCGCAGATCGGCCGCTGGACGTTAAATGAGAATTTGATTGAGAGGGTCGATAATATAGATCTTTTATTTGTCGACCAGCTAGGAATAACGCGCGACATATGAATACGAATGCAAATTCAAACTTGTAAAAATAAAATTGGAAAAACTTCTGCATCAAGATCCGTCTCTTTATATAAAAATCAGTATTATTAAATAAAAAATAATATATCTACGTTACAAAATAAATGAAGAAATGTATCTTCGATATATTTAAACAATGTTTATATATAAGCATAGAGTGCGTGTGTGTGTCTATTCTTCTTCTTCTTCTTATTGGCCAATTAGATTTCCTAGTGGAATTTGTCTATAGTTCTCTATTTCTCTAGTATCTTTTTGTTGCGTGTTTCTATGTAAGAAGCATAGATCAAATAAATATATAGATAGCGTCACTCGCTATTTTAATCGCGCGTGACTTCAGTGTGGATGTTGAAAAGAGAGCGTCTTATCTTTTGTTAATTTTTAATCCTAGAGAGAGACAAACTAGCATCTCTTCCTAATCGGACACTTGATCAAGGAAGTGCGCTTCTACATTTTATTACGATTACGATAAGAAGAATCTCTCTAGAACGAGAAGAGTGTCGGAATCGAAATAAAGAAGACGCGTGTAAGGTGTAAGCCTCGGTAAGTGTTAATTGTTAATTGTTATAACATTGTCGAGTGGACGAAAAGAGGTTGGTTCTATTTCTACGCGCGTTCGATTCGTAACTCGCTGTTTTAATTTAAAGTATGTATATTATGTACATAAATAACAAATAAATCGATATTTTAATGTGTCAATATTAGAATATTTTGTAGCATTTATCGCATATTTTTGCGCGAGTACACAATTATTATACATTATCTCATTTGAGGTACTTTTCATTCTGTCGTGTATATATATTTGCACGCGCACGAGAAGAGATATTTAAGATAAATTTTTTAACAAATTAAAAATTTTTTACTTTTGATATTTAGAAATTATATGCTGTAAATTATTCGCTGTATAAATGTTGAAAGATGGTTATTATTTAATTTTTTATTAATCATTTACATTGAATAATTCTATATGCAAACATAATTTGATTACACATTTTATAAATGGAAATTATATATATGTATAATTTTCTCTAGCTTTTCTCTCTCGATTCCTTGTTGCAATTAATTTCAATAAAGATAAATCTAAAAGACGATTAAATTTACGATCGACACTTGCGTTTTTTTTTTTTGCTTTATTTTTTATTTTATATTATACGTATAAAAAAGAGAGCAATAAAAATGGTGGATGAGGGTAAAACGTAGTGCGCTGCAAAATGCTATCGAAGCGGTCGAACTCTCTGATGTCTTATCGGATGGTCGTTAACCCGAGTGTACTCACCGTTTCCTTCCTTCCACCTTTCTTCTTCCGTACGCGATTCTCTTCCGCAATCGTCCATTGATAGTCCCTCAGGGCATAGATATTCCTTGGATATTGATGACAAACCAAGAATGAGAAGTTACAGAAAAATCATTTCAGTCGCGAGAAAATTTATTCGAATTTTTTATCACGCGACACACATACATAAGAAAAATTTTTTAAAATTAGGTAGGTGTTATTTTTTGAACTTTTTGATTAATATAATTACACAAGTTTCTCTCTCTTAGATTAATATTTTTTTATCGTCAATATGTGACAAGTGAATGAAAAAATAATTAACTCAGGAAAGACCTCTATTTTTCGATATACTTTCAATACAGCAAAATTGATTTAGTTTACAGTACGTATATTAGAGATTTTCTGTACTAGCAGTGTATATCTAAACACCTATAGTCTAAATAACGTTATTATAAATATTATTTTATATTATGTTTAAATACATTTCCTATTTTACATATTGTTTTATTTTATACTTATCTTTTCCTTTCTACAATAGATAGGAAAGATAGGTAGAATATTTTGTAACAGATATGAGAACTCACGAACAATAAGAGTATCTGTTACAGTATTAATTTTTAAAAATGTACAGCACGTATGAGGACATGTGATAGCGATAATCACATGTGTAATGTGAGACAAACAATGACGGTTCTACCTAAAATGAAGATATAACGACAGATGTGTAGGAAGATATATAGAGATGTTCCAATTTCAAAGTAAAATCAAAAGAAAATTTTTAGTAGAGAATTTATTCAAAATATATAATTTATGATTTATATTTAGTTTCTTTAGATTAATATTTCTTTTCAAAAACTTAATTGTAATTACGTACTAGAAATATATCGTAAAATAAAATAAAATAAATTCTTGATATTATTTTCCAAATATTCCAGAACTTCAAATGATAACTATAAATAATTAAAATATTTTCGAATAATGATTTAATATAAAAAATTCATAAAATAAAAATAATTAATTAATAATAATGATTACCTGATTTATATATGTATATTATAATAATCCTTCTCTATATTCCATATTAAAAAAATTTTGTATCTTTAGTCAAAATATTTTTATTAATCTGATAATAAATCATCAGAGATTTCTTTTGTTAATACATTCTTATTTTGCTACAATAAACGCATTCTTCAAAATTTATATTATTTAAAATTATATTACACATGTAGACAATTAATATATAATAATATATTTGTAGAACTTTAACAGTTTTTGTGTACACGTTTATTTTAATAATTTATTACAGTAATAATGAAAATAAATTTATTCTACTAATAAATTAAAATAATTTATCAAACTTTATGATAATTTTACACAATAAATATTGGAAATATAGATATTTGCAAGATTTATAATATTGAAAGAGCTAATTATTTTTCTCAAATATATTTTGACAAAGATAGCATATTTTGAATCTTTAATTTCATTAAACACCCTTGTTTACCTGTGCTGAATTTTCTTGACAATGACAATGTCGATAGCGAGAGAGAGAGAGAGAATACGAGGGTACGAGGAAACGAGGAGGAGCGAGATTTTCGGGTCGGCTTCCTGCGGACCTCCGCTCTGCTCGGCGACGAGCGAAGCGGAGTAGTCACGCTCGGCGAGCCCGAGGCTCAGGCTCGAGTGTTTTACACGCTGACAGTTCGCAGTCTCCGGGTTTAAATGCGTGGATTTGAATTCTCGGTGCTTCTCGCTATGACTTAAACAAAAAGAGAAGATGTAATGTGCAATCTAAATTAATGGCGATTGACGCGAATGCGATTCATCTTGAATTATTAAGCGAAATAACTGTTTCCGTCCGTCTTTATATATGTAACTCTAACTTTTGTATCAATTACAGTGATCTAAATCTTTTTCCTTATTATTTTCATCTATTAATAAGATAATTCTAGTTATATAGAAAATAATTAAATTGAATTTAAAAGACATTAGTGCGAATTAATGGAAAAGAACTTTTTCATTTGACAAGCTAATTGTAAGTGTTAGAATCGAGTAAATTCAAACAAGACACAAAGATAGAGAACAAAGAATAAAATTAAAATTATGTTTAAAACGTGTTCAATAGTAAAACATTTAAAAATGAGAATCAGGTAAAGAAGATTTATGAGAAATAAAAAAGGCAATGTGTGAGGAAGCGTGATATAAAAAAGAGAAAGAAATTTGCGAATGGTATCACATATTTTTGCAAGAGATTTTTCTCATGTTTTCTTTAAATACGTATAATTAAAAATACTTTATGTATAATTAAAAATGCGTATAATTGTTCAGGTAAATTGAGAGATGACTGATGCTGCTCCAATTTTCGGCAACTCTTCATCGGATGCTGTGACTGGATTCACGATGGAGCGCGGCGATCACTACAAGGTTTGTTGTTCCTATTCAATAATATTTCTCTATTTTCGCGATTTATGGATCGCAAAATAAATAATACGATTAATTAAAAACTTATTGATGAGAAATTCACAGTTGTTCGATTGACAGATGTATATGACGGCTGATAATTAATTATAATACATTCTTGATATCTCTGATATATGCATGAAAAGCATTTGCATTCGCGTTCTGTTTATTTTGCTGCAATTATCTTGGATAAAATGTGATATAATTAGTGAAATATAATGTTTATCCATCTGATTAACCATACATCAATAAATAATGATGGATCTTTCCATTTTAATCATATTGATCTCATATCTTTTCTTTATCAAACTTCTGATGTACAGACGAAAAGTATTCGACGATAAATTTAACGAATCTTAAATTACGATCACAAATATTTTTTCTACTTCAAAATAACGATGTGCATTCGTATGAATTATCTTCTCGTGCAAGAGATAGAGATTATGACAATTAATCGCGGATTTTCCTGTTTTTTTTGGCGCGTCTCGCTTTTGCAATTTAAAAATCTGTCTCTCTATTTTTCCGCTGGTGAACAATAAATTCACAACAATTTGTCGGCAATCCGTTCTAAAATTTCGGCCGAAAAGCCGTAATTCCGGTGGCCGGACGATACTTCATTTTCCAGACGTCGTCCAATGCAATTTCCTGCATGCCTTAAGCGCAGAAAATCGATCGACACATCTCTCGATTATAAAGCTATACATTTAAAATATTTATTTCACGAGCAATTTATCTTCATAAAATTTAATAGAGACTAAAACAAAAAATATTACGCAGAGATCTAGATTTTCATTCTACTTTAATCTTTATTTTTTCCAATTTAATTTTTACATGCGATATTTAAGAAATTTTCGAAGAATTGCATAAGATAATCTGACCTACCCTGTAGCGGTAGAATATTAGCATCGTTATATCATTACTGCTCCATTTTCATCTCTCGTAATTGCGCCTCTTACACTTCACCGCGCTCGAGATATGAATATATCGGTCTTAATAAATTCAACCATGCGGCGAGTGTTACGAAAATGCGCACGCGAGAAATGCCCGTTAGGATCATCTATTTTAAAGTCTTATGACTTTCGCAGATCAATTATCTCGCATATGAAATTGGGTCTATGAATTATCTATGCTCGCGCGAATCGAGAGAAATCGGAAGAAAAACGAGGCCGCGATTAGAAACTTTATTGACAGCTATAGAATTTAAGAATAGATAATGTCAAATATTGAGAGACTTGTCAGCAGTTATATTATATTTAGAATTTATATACATTAGAAATTATTTATATTTAATGTAATATCTCTAAAGTAATACATCTATACAATTTAGTGATATTTAATTCGCAACGTTATGAATTTAATAATTGTTAATAATATGGTTGATAATAATGGTATTATGCCTATGCTCTTTCATATTAATTATTATTAATTACACGACACAACTTTAATTATGAATCATTAATTTTAATATTCCTTCTTTGTCCAAAAGTGATGAATGTTTCGCATAGCGCGTTTTCTTGATTCAGGTAATTAATCATAAATAAAATGACTGAGATAAATTTCCTCGGACAAAAAAATCTCTCGGGTGACAAAATTTCGGAATTTTCGAAGGTGGCGAAATAGTGGTTATCGGTGACTATATATTATTACCGGGTGTTAAAGTTCAGACCTCAACAATGGTGTCTATTCGAGGAATTAGGGACACCAGTGCCGTAGTGGATCTGTAGTACATACGACACGAGGAAACGATTTGATGCTTTGGGAAGGGAAGTCTGCTCTCGTAGGAGGGCACGGTGCCAGGAAGCCGATATTGCAGCGAACGAGACCCCGTGGAATGTGTGTGTGTATGTGGGGTGCGACCGGCTCATTGCCCGACAGTTAGCTTTCGTCGAAAGGTCATGCGAAACTAATCATCCGACCAGAAAGATTCTTTCATTGAAACAGGGCCAACTAATTTCAAAAAGTGGAATTTAAAGTTCACTTCTTGACGAAAAATAATTTGGTCTCCATATTCGACAGCTCTTTCCACATTTCTGAATCTATGATACTTTATATACACATAATTTAATGGATATCAATTTTATTAGACGTATTATTCTTAAATTCTAGCTGTCAACATATATTCTTAAATAACACGATCGCGTATAGTCCAAATTCTGAATTTTCGAATTTTTGAAATTTCACAGATAAGTTGCTCGATTAGATTTTAATTCTTAAAATTCTTTTTCTGATTTTTTTAATAATAAAATATAAGTAATTTTTTTTATTTGTGATGTGTAACTGTTCTAATAACTTACTCAAATTTCCAGTTTTTTGAAACAATTTTAGAAACAAAAAACACAGTACAACTCTTTGAATACGATTTTCGGAATAAACTGCAAAACTCGCGATTCTACCAAAGAGCACTTCTTAGAATCTCTTCAGATGAAAGAACAAATGCCAGAAGACCGGTCTTCCTTTCTTTGTAGGTGTAGAATAAAAATAAGAAAAAAATAAGTAGTCACAAGGCGGCTCACGAACAACTTTTATCCTATCTTTGAACAGGAAATAGAAATAATTGCTAAGCAAATTGCATACTTATTGTCTTTAGACATGCATTAACATTTTTATTTCAAATAATCTTGAAAAAAATGACGTAAGAAATATAAATTAGCGATTAAGAAAACTTAACGCATGTACACGTATGTCTTTAGATTACATACATACATTATAGATAGATGTTTAAAATAAATAATTTACATATATTCCATAATAAAAATTAGCAATAATATATATATACGCACTTGTATTAATTGTAAATTAAATTTCCAATTTTTAATTACATTTGATTTGTAAAATTTCCTTCAGCTAAAAGTGCATATTATTTAATCATATCAGTATCTGAGGAGGAAAGACAAAACAATTTCGATTACTCCAATTTCTGTCAAAATGTCAAATAATTGCATAATGATAAAATCAATCTTCTCGCTTTATATATATATATATATATACGCACTTGTATTAATTGTAAATTAAATTTCCAATTTTTAATTACATTTGATTTGTAAAATTTCCTTCAGCTGAAAGTGCATATTATTTAATCATATCAGTATCTGAGGAGGAAAGACAAAACAATTTCGATTACTCCAATTTCTGTCAAAATGTCAAATAATTGCATAATGATAAAATCAATCTTCTCGCTTTATGCTCCGATGCGATAATAACGTCGTAATAAGATCTTTACCGTGTTTATTTAATATTGGATTTTCTGTGTCATCAGACATATAAAGATTATCTCAAAACGATGCAAAAATACAAAAGACTTTCTTATCAGATGCGCGATTTCGCTGATCCCATATCAAAGGATATTCGAGCTATTTGTATCAGTCGGCTGCAGTCAGTTACCGCGATTAGTCGATTCGGATAATCGGTCGTATCACAAACGTAAGTGTGCATACTGATTGTATGATATATATATATATATATATATATATATATATATATGGCGTGAATACTTTAACGTTTACGAGGAAAATTTTTGAAAAATATTTTCGGAGAGAATCGCGTAATACTTACACAGTGACAAGTCATAACTATTCATTGTGAAGAAAGGGGGTCATAACCATTCGCGTCGTGACTATTCGTCATATCATAGAGAAATAGGCAATGAAAGATAATACAGCTGACAGTTATATAGCATTTGACACGGCGTAAGGTTAAACGATAAGCGTAAGGGTTATTCTCCGTGTTAAATAAATTTGTAAAAAAATAGTAGTTTTATGTCATATCAGGTCGAGCTTTGTGTGTACGCTTTCGTAATACATTATTTGCGATTCTCATTTTCATTTATTATTATAGAAAATGACGTGAGTGAATACCACGCGATCCTAAAAATAGCTGACTAATCGCGAGAATATTGACACATTTTAATTATTATTGATTAATATTGTGACTTGTATAACAAAAGACTTCCAATAATATTTTAATTGGTGTAAATTGTGTTCTTTATATTTTGAAAAAGATCATTAAGTTATTATTAAATTCTTCTTAATTATATCTTATAATTACATAATTAATTATATACATTCTATAAATTTATTACATATTCTATTATATAATTATCATTAAATTTTCGTATCAAATATTAATTCTATAACGTGTAATTTTATGGCACTCTGTAGACACTGTGTGTTTCATGAAAATTATATTAGTAAATTAGTTTATTTTTTTTAAATAACTGTAAAATATACAGTGTCAAACTTACTGTAAAATATACAGTGTCACATTTAAATTGTTCAATGTTAAAGTAGCATATAAATTCAAAAATGTGCAACTCTTTTTTTATCAAAAAAAACATAGTGTTTAATCGTAATAAAATTAAATTTAAATTTTTCAAATATAAAGTATCAAATAAAATTCACAAAAACAGTTCAGTAATATTTAATTAAAATAATATCATTTACCGATTCTTACGAAAAAAATTGCTTTAAATAAGAGCTTTTCTGTAATTTTTCCTACAGAATATATTCATAAAATTACATCATTTTTTCAACATTTCGATTTTTTGTAATGTTGAATGTGAATCTTAAAATATTCCAAATTATACGAATGCAGGTGTTGATTCGTCTGTTTAGGAGTGCCGCAAAAGTATGTGGCATTTAATTTTCTTGTTAATTGGCTCCGCATTTGCCGGCGAGTCCGGACCGGAGTCGCCAACAGATTTTTCCGAAGCAACGATCAAGATCGAGGCACCGTTGCCTTACGAGGATGCATTTCCGACTCCACTTCCTGGTATGCTGTATCCCAGAGAAAGTGAATCCCGCGAGGTAAATCTTGCATGATATGACATACTCTGATCTTTTAACGTAGCACGAATCTGATGAATAATTAATTCACGGTTTTACAAATCATCATACATATAATAAAAAGGAATCTGATATCTATTTAATATTCATTATAAAAGCCTTTAATGTGTTTGCGAACTCAAATTCAAATTATTATACTTATTAAATCTGTGATTAAATATTTCTTAATTTTTAATCAAAATTCCAAATTAATTATATATCAGAATAACAATACGAAAAACATTAATATAATAGAAATTAATAAATATTAATTGTGTGTGTTAATATAATCTTATATTGTCACAATTTTACATCAATTGATATAATTTTATATTGTCTTGATTATAATTTTCTGTATTTAATAAGATTCTGTATTTAATAAGATTTTTATATGAGAACGTAACAAAGAGCACATCGCATTTTATTTATTTCTTTGTTCTTTTTTTTGCAGGTAAGATCGCTCGATGGATTATGGGATTTTATCGTGTCACCCGAAGGAGATGCGCTAAAGGGTTTCAGAGAGAGATGGTATACCTTGAATGAGCTATCGAAGGTATCGTAATCTAGTGTAAAATAATAATGAACAAACGAATGCACAAAAATTGTAATTACTTTAAATTTAAAAATGTAAAAATTAATTAATTCTTATAAATGTTAGAAAGCCCGATTTTCTTACATCTCCTAAATTTGTCAAAAATTCATAATTGTTAAAAAACACGATTAAACTATAATTAAAAAAGTGGATACATCTACGAAGAAAGAAAAGAATGGGAAATTATCTAATAATTTCTTTAGAATTATATAGAATTATAGTAAAATAATTTTGTGTAAAATTTTAGATTATTATTTGCCTTATTTTATGCCATTATTATTCTTGACACACTAAACGTAATGTTGAATATTCAATGTTTGCTCGGTTCTGTTCGCATTGCAAGAATGTCACGTATCTTTTATAATCTCGCATAATTACACGTTGTTTGTCATTACTCTCATCATTAGATCTGTTCGTGTAAGATTTGACCGGGTTTGCAGGTCGGTGAAATAATAAAGATGCCGGTACCCTCATCCTACAATGACATCACGACATCACGGAATCTCAGGGACCATGTCGGCGCCGTATGGTACCAGAGAACCTTCTTCGTGCCCTCATCTTGGCGGGACCAGCGGGTTTTTATCAGATTTGGCTCGGTCAACTATCTCGCTCAAGTGGTAAACACTCTTTATATGAATCTTTTATCTCCAAAGCGAAGTAAAATGCGACAATCGTTATTAATTTGAAAACATATAAAAATAAGAAAGTAAAAAAAATATTTCAAAATCTGTCATATATAAATATTTATTTTTTGCAACTAAAAATAAGAGTATATATTGATTGAACTATACAATTAAAAATTTATATATCTAATATAATAATTTCTACAAAAATATTATAACATTTGAAAGCATGCGTTTAAGTTGCAAGGTATTTTGATGCGATTGATATAAGTAGTTTTATATGCATATATATAATTAGTGGATAAACGGCGACTTGGCGACCAATCACGAAATGGGTCATCTGCCCTTCGAAGCAGATATCTCATCATACTTGACCTTCGGTGGAGAGAATCGCATTACTGTAGCTGTGGATAATACTTTATTACAAACGAGCGTACCTCAGGGAAAAATCGTGGAGATGAGCTCTGACAATGGCACTATACATATGCAGACGTATACATTCGATTTCTTCAACTATGCGGGTATACACAGGTAAGATATCGTACAATTTAAAATCAAAACATCATCTATCTTCAACTCTTTATTCGTTTTAAACAAATCTGACAATTCTGACATCTTAATGCAATCGTGATTACGATAAATAAAAATCAACATGACAAATAAAAATCTTTTTATAAATCTAATTAATACTATTTCTTTTATTTTTAAATATTGTTTTGATATTAAATTCATAAATTTTCAATCCATTTATTTTTCCTAAACTTGTCAAAAGAGATAGATAGGCAGATTAAAAAGAGATTAAAAAGAGATAAAAAGAGACATTAAAAAAACCTCGCTCAATTATCAAATTAAATCTCAAATTGAATCTCTGAAAAGGAAGGAAATCAATTTAAAATTAGGTTCACCGATTATCAGATAAAAATACCCAACATATATAATCACGTTCCTTTGCTATTGCATTGCGAAGGGTTTTTCAAGCTCTCTGAACCGATGCGTGAATTTCACTCACACCACAAATAAATCTCTATCAAAGGCTTTGTGGTAAAACTAGAATATCCGATGCGTTACGAGACAAGAATCGAGGTTACATGTTCAGGAGATTCTCACTATTCGATAAAAAAAGGTCTCGGTTCTATAACGTAGAAAAATAGAGATGCAATTTGATTATTCTGGTCACAGTACAATAATTTAACATAATTGCAATTACAATGATTTATACGAGTCCTAATTGATAAAGAATCATAAATAAAGTGTATAAAAATTTATTTATAATATTCATATTGAATATATGTATCTATAAAAATATTTTCAAATTTATTTTATTTATTAGATTTAGGCATTAATTGATAATTAAATATATTTCATATTATTTCTTGTAATCATTAAGTAAAGTATCAATTTATCACTTCTAAATCAATTTTCATTAAATAATACAAATTTAAAACAATTCTGTTTGTCTACATATTTATATTGATGTTTCGCGTTTGAAATTTTGCGTTTACTAAATCGAAGTTCTACTGTACACCGTGTGTATCACACTTTGGGACACTTTGCGAAGATCCGTTTTACTGTACACCGCGCCGCGCGTCTACGTCGAGGACATCACGGTGAGAACGGGCTTGATCGGCGACATGGGAATTGTCAAATATATTATACAACCAGCCGGATTACGCGAGGGAGAGATACCAATCTGCTGGGTTACCCTGCACGACGCTGAACAGACTTTGGCCATTAAGGAACCTGTCTATGGCCTGTCCGGCACCCTGAAAGTCCCGTTCGCCAGACTTTGGTGGCCCAGAGGCATGGATTCCAAACCAGGGTACTTGTACACTTTGGAGGTACTTCAATTCTTAATTACTATATTATCCCAAAATTACAAATGCCTTAATATCTTTTAATAGCAAAATTAATTTCAAATTAAAAAAATGTTAACAAAAAGATAACTTTATATAAATGTTAATTTTACATGAACTATTATATGATTAAAATATGTTAACTTGTTCTATAAATTATTAAAAGATCTTAAGATTTGTTTATCAAAACGACGTGGTTTTTTTCAGGTGAGGCTGTCAGTGATAAATGCCACCAAACCGGACATCTACCGATTACCGATTGGCATCAGGACTCTTATGTGGACCAACACGAGTCTCTTATTAAATGATCGACCAGTGTACATGCGTGGTTTTGGTAGGCACGAGGATTCTGCAATCAGAGGACGTGGCTTTGACCTTGTCACCGCTGTTAGGGATCACGAATTGCTCCAATGGATCGGAGCCAATGCCTACAGAACTAGTCATTATCCTTATAGCGACGAGGTCCTCGACATGGCTGATAGGTATCGACAATTTTCTCTAGGATTGTCTGATATTCCGAGAAATTTATCATACACTTTTAATCTCTCATTTCTCTTTCATATATTTGTAATCTATTTTATTTTACTAAATTTTTAAAATTTTACTTTATTAAATTCTATTTTGAAGATTGGGTTTCCTCGTAATCGACGAGTGTCCTTCCGTCGATACGGAAAACTTTTCGCCATCGTTGCTCTCCCGCCATAAAGATTCGCTCTCGGAACTCATCCGTAGAGACAAAAATCGACCCTCCGTGATCATGTGGTCTCTGGCCAATGAGCCGAGGACCCAGCTGCCTCAGGCCGAGGAATATTTCAAACAGGTTGCCCATCATGCCAAAGCAATCGATCCCACTAGGCCGATCACTATTGCTTTGGCTCGTGGAGTGCAGGTAACGTAAATAAAAAAAATGATTGCTCCCTGACTTTGATACATCTGTGGTATAAAATCTTCCTTTAACAGTCTCTTAATAATTTTCTAATTTTCAATATTAAACATTTTCACATGTAACTAAATTATGAATTAAAATTACATTTTTGTGTTTGTATATGTTTATCTAATTAATTGTTCCATGAAAATTTTTTTTCAGATTTTATCACAATTATTTACAAGTCGTATAAATTATTAATAGATTTTGTAAATTTTAGGAAGACAAAGCTGGTCAGTTTCTCGACGTGATTAGTTTCAATCGTTACAATGCCTGGTATAGCAACGCCGGCAGAATGGACATGATCACCGACAGAGTTCATGGAGAAGCTGAAGCTTGGTATAGGAAATATAATAAACCGGTACTTATGTCTGAATACGGAGCTGATACTATGCCGGGTTTGCACGAGGTAAAATTTTTCTTAAATTTTCTTAAATCGTTAAAAAAAGCTATTTTATATATTTACACATCTTATATGTTTCAATAGAATAAAAATAAAAAAACTGTAGAAAGAAATAAAAAGAACTTTTTAACACATAAAAATAAAATCGTAGTATAGAAAACAAAAAATGACATAAAAGAAAATAATATAGAAAATATAAAGTAATTTTGCCTGAAAAGTTTTCATTATAGCATTGTAATTATTTCTTTAAGCTTGTATTAATTCTTTGCAGCTACCGGAATACGTATGGAGCGAGGAGTATCAGAAGGAGCTGCTTTCCAAACACTTCGAAGCCTTCGATCGATTGCGACATCAAGGCTATTTTATCGGTGAATTTATCTGGAACTTCGCCGATTTCCGCACGGCACAAAGTGAGTATTGAATAAAATCATATATATATATATATATATATATATATATATATATATATATAGAGAGAGAGAGAGAGAGAGAGAGAGAGTTAATTAATTTATTATTTTTACTAATTCATCTTTTTGATATTAATATTATTGTGAAAATTTATTATACAGTTTATAAGATTCTGTGCAAATTTCTTATCGCGATTTCTATGCATAATTATAGTAAAAAACAAACATATACTTTTTAACTAATAGCCTTCTTTAATAATTTATAGAAAATATTATTAAAAGAAACGTAAATGTGTCTTATAAGTTTCGGAAGAATTGGCTCGTGAAATGATTTTTATTAATTATGTCCGTCAATTTATATAGCGTATACTAGAGTGGGCGGCAATAAAAAGGGGATCTTTACGAGGGACAGACAGCCAAAAATGGCAGCCCATCATGTTAGGAGAAGATATCACGCCCTCGCAGTCGAAGTGGATGGTGCGCAGATATCGGAGGATGTGGAGGATTATTACATTTCGTCCTATTATTCTTCACATTCCGAGCTTTGACTGATTAAAAAAAAAAAACAAAAAAAGAAAATAAAGGCACAATATTTTGGAGTGCGAAAATCGCTTTGCATAAAGTCTTAATTGACTCTTGAAAAATAAAATCGTGTTTTGTTTTGTATGTCGATAGATTTTGCACTGATAACTTAACATATAGAATTCACTTAATATATAATCTATCATAAAATCATTTCACGATAAATACTTTATTTGTCTAACATTTGTTTGAAAAACAAAAAATTGATATCATTGCCTGATTATCTAGATTTAGAATCTATAAACTTTTATATACATATAGAACTTTGTGTACTCTTATTATATATATTTTAAATGAAAAGCAGAATCATCTCAACGTTTTTATACAATTCACAGTATGAAAATATATTTACAGATCGAAGAAGTAGTACGTCCTTTTAATAGAAACTCACAGTCTCACTCATAATAATATGTAGAACTTACTCAGCATGGTTTATCATCATCTGGCGGTTCCACAATCTTTAAACACGCATCAGCCATCTCCACAAATAAAGGTAACTTCATCGCTGATGCTATTGCACCAGTAGGATTCGGATTGTTGAGAACTGCCTTCATAGCATTACGCAGATCAGGATGTTTGAGGAATTCTTTCAGTTCTGTGCTATTCTGCAACTGTTGCAGTTTTTCCACAGGTACAGTGTCTTCTGTTGGAAACTTATATTCTCGTTCATATTTACGTTCTTCTTCGGATTTCTCAGGTAACTTGAGAGGTTCGCAGTTGTGATTTTTATGCTCCTTGCAACACATTACAGAACAACTGGAAAACAACATGAACTAATGTTAATAAAATTTTAATTAAAATTTATATACAAAAAGGAAACCGAAAAAAATACTTTTAATTATTTATTTTATTTTATAATAAATTAACACAATTTTCTAACATATTTTTATTATGAATTTCCAATACTGCATTCAATAATATGATAATTTTTAATATAATAAATATAATACATAACCAAAAAGAACCTCCTGAGATATCTGCAAATAATTATACTTACTAAGGTTCTTTGCATGTCGGACATTTGTAAGGTGCACCTTCCTTTTCACAGATACAACATTTCTTATTTGTCATGACTTAATGACTGTTATAAATAGACTAATTTTCAAAGCGCACAAGTGTTACAGATTTGTTTACATCATGTGAGCACACGACTCGCGTCATAGACATATAAAATGCATAGATCAGCATGTTAACAACTTCATGTGAGTTGGACAATTCGATTAGGGACACGTGATTCACCAATCACAAGTCGAGCCGAGTCTGTCCGAAAGGAACCGAAAATTGACAGCTGAAGTTTCTTCTATGCATTTTACATGTCTATGTTTCATAGTTTGTGACGCCACCTGTAGCTCAACGAAAAAAATACATTTAAATATCTTGAGTTTTTGTAGTTTTGAAGGAGAGAGAGATGCATATATACATATAAAAGTGTTATTTTTGTCAAGTTTTTTTTATTAATTAAACAGTGCTTATATCATCAAGAATAAATCCGGAATGTCGGTGAGTTAAGATTTATATCTTTATTGAAATAGGTGTTTAACACGATATTTAATTTAAATCGTGTCTACATCTATTTGCAAGATATTAACCTATAAAATTGAGGTTGTAATTTTTCTTGTATGTATGTATATTTTTTTTTATCTCTGTTTTCAACAATCTCGACAAGTTGTGTACAAGTAATTTTAATTAATTTTTTATTACCTTTATTGGTTATTATAAATATGAAAAAATTCGTTTTAAAACGAAAGCCCTAAATTTTTACAAGATAAAAAATATTAATTTTAATTAGTCAATTTTGGAGAAAGTTCTTATCTCAATATGTCATCGCAGAAACTAATTTTATTCTAATTTCTGAACTTTATTTTGCTTTTTTTGTATATATATAATTAATTGATTTTTATTCCGCACAATGAATTCTGGCTTGATGTAAAATTTCGAATAAATAACAATTTAATTCCACTTTGCGGAAGAGGATTTTGGCGAGGTTTATTAACAATTCATGAAAATCAGGCGACTTTCGCGATTGTATTAACGTCCGCGCGCGCGTAAACGCCGATGTAGTGTGATGAAAGTAGCGTTTGGAATTTGCGTTTGCGCAAATACCCTGTCAAAGAGAGAAATTACGGAGCAGGACGGCGGATTTCGAGGAGGAGGCGGAACTGGCCTGGATCTCTAAATGCGATCTCACGGCGCGTGATAGCACCGTCGAATGGAAATTCGCATTCCTGCGGCAAGAGAGTACATACGTCACGCGTGCCGGACACGGTGCGTCAACCGAAGTGCGCAATTTCAACGTGATTTTATTTCACGTCACGCGAGAACCAAATATCGCTTTAACTATTTTATTTCGCTTGCCAAATTTCGTCTTTAACGTGAATTTATTTTTTCTTTTTTTTTTTATATACTTGAAATCTTGCGACAGGAACTATTTTTTTTTTTTTAATTAAAAAGCAAATCTTATTTCACGAATTTTTTTATTTTATTTTTGTTTATAATTGGATTTTTTTATTCGATTTTAATGTGAACTAAATATTTTCACGTCATGATCACGGTAACCAGTTTTATTTTTAATTTTTGTTTTATTTTGCCAAGTAAACTATATAACTATATACTTAAATGTCATAAGAGATTAAATTAAATTAAATTATACATCAAGCCAGAAAATAAAACTTATATTACAAGATAATTAAAATAAAAAAGTTGTGAATAAAATGAGAAGTTTGTCTTTGAAATACCGGGTAGATAGAATCCGTATCTGATTAGGAATAAAAATATATTAAAATAAAATTTATTTGATGTTTATTTCAAATAAAATGTATGAAATTTACGTCGCGTTAAATTAAAAATTCAATCATTATCGCCATCGTCGTCGTCGTCGTCGTCGTCTTCGTCGGCGTTAAAAGCTCTCGATGCTGAAACTTTCTTCTCGAGGTCGGTGGCCATGAGCGGAGCTCACGCCAAGGTCATTGATTCCACCGGCAGTTCCGGCTCGGTTTCTGGGCCAGGTTAACCGACGTGTCCGCGACGGCGACGTCCGGAATACCTTCGCTCATCGTGACGTCGGCTCGGCCTGATACGGCAAGCCGGTAACGAGCCGAACAACAACGGATGTAAACTTATTTGAACCAGCGGTCATAAGATTTTTTCTCCATCAATTAATGTACATTAGAAAATTGCATAATAATTATTTTAATTACAAAATAGTTCATTTTTATAATAAATGAATATTTGATTTTATGAAATAGGTATTTGACACGAATACGAATTTCTCCAATAGAGAATTTAGATAGAAAATTGTGAGTAATAATTGTAAATTATATTAATAATATATTATAATATATATATTAGAGAATTATATAATAATTAAACTTTATTACAAAATAGTTTATTTTTCTAACAAATGAATAATTGATTTTATGAAACAGCTGTTCAATCGACACGAATACGAATTAATTTCTCTTCAAATAGAGAATTTAGGTAGAAAATTGAGAAATAATTGTAAATGATATTAATAATATATTATAGAGAAGTATATGATAATTAAATTCATTTACAAAATAGTTTATTTTTATAATAAATGAATAATTGATTTTATATGAAACAGGTGTTCAATCGACACGAATACGAATTTCTCCTCAATAGAGACTTTACATAGAAAATTGAGAAATAATTGTAAATGATATTAATAATATATTATCATATATATTTAGAGAATTATATAATAATTAAATTCAATTACAAAATAGTTTGTCTTTATAATAAATGAACAATTGAGACAGATGTTCAGTCGACACGAATACGAATTTCTCCTCAAATTGAGAATTTAGATAAAAAATTGAGAAATAATTTGTAAATGAGAGTTAAATATAAATTAATTATTAAATATTTTAAGTTTGTGAGATATTATGGTACCGTGAATGACTTGCATACATATGTAAAATCTCTTTAATGATGTATGATGTCTCTTTCGATCGATTTGACTCTTACAGTTTGGTTGGCTAATGTGTAAATTACAGCCCTGCTGACAATATCGAAGTCCCACTCGCGAATATTCCGTCACGCAGAATGCAAACTGACCATTCATTCACGTCTAATTGTAAGTCTTTGCTTAAGTACCGGGGCATTGACGTGGCAACACGTGTTTCACACATGACTTTAACTTTTTATGATTTTTATTAGCAAATCAAAATTCTGATTTGCAGCTAGTGAAATTACGTTATGCATAATTAAAACACTTTCATAAATATTAATTTTACGTTGCTTAATAGGGCAACATTTTAGCTATCTTTAAGTTTAATTAATTAATAAAAAAAGGGCTGAATAAGCTTCTCTGACATTTAATTAAATAACTTTACATAACTAACTTTCACATAATTTCAGAGAATTTTCTCTCTCTCTCTTTCTCTTTCTTGTCAATTTTGTCATTCAATCTAAGAATTATCATGAAATAATTGTAAATTGAGCTAGATTTTCGCGATAGAGGTAGTTGACCGCATTCGATGAACAGCAGCGGCAGCCACTTAATTAACTGCATAAGACGCGACGTGAATTAAAACGGTATGCGCGAGTTTATGCTCGAAGATGACACGTTTACCTTGAGGAGGTCGCGGTGCGTCAATCTTATTCTTCTTGTATTTAGAGGATGCTGAAAATGATCCGATAGGAAATTCTCATCTAAATAGTTGTTGAACCGCGATTACACATTTTTAAATATTTTTTATTTTGCACGACACCAACTGCATAATTAGATTTACAATATCATACAATTAATAATCAAATGTACACGGGGAGAATTTTCTCGTAGAATTTATTCTGAAAATCTGCATGGACCCAGGTAGAAATTTTGTCTGGAAATAATCAGAGCTCCATATATTCTTTTAAAAATATTTCTGGAATTCAGGTGAAAAATCTAAGTAGAACCTGTGTAAAGTTTTGGTCGCCTAAATAGTACAGGCTCTATCGCAGAATCCGGGTGGGCTCAAAATTACGCTCAGAATTTGTAGAAAAATTATTTGGAGTCTAACTAGGACCTATAATTTTTTTAAATATTTGCTTGATTTGTATTATAATTATTTCTATAAGCTAGATTATTCAATCCTGGCCCCATATATAGTTTCATATTTATTATAGTTTGGGAAAAATATGTCAGTGGCGATCTAGAACCCATGCAGATTTTTCCGATTATTTTTTTCCTCGGTAAAATAAAGGTAAATTTCTAGGGTGCATTCTGGATTTAGGGCCGATTTTTCCAACATCTTAGTAAGTTTTATCCGACAGATAGCATATTTTCGTCTCTTTTCAGATAAATTCTAAAAAAAGAAACAAAGATATGCTACCTGTTGGATAAAACTTATCAAGAGTTGGAACAACCGGCCCTTAGACAGATATTTCAAACTGGATTTTTTTTACCTAGGCTCTGTATTTAATCTCGGTAAATCGAGACAGATTTCTACCTGGGATAAAAAATATTAATATGTACATAGTAAAATTAATCAAACATATTTTATATCTTATTGTGGTAGATATAAAATATATAGATATAAAATATAAAATTTTATAATTATATAATTTTATACATTATTATATTATTTATTGTGGTAGATATTAAAATTCTTCCAATACCATATTGTCTCACGATTACCATGATTTTCAGAATAAATTTTAAGAGAAAATTCTCTTTGCGAGAATGATTATTCCTATATTTGTAGAATAATTATTTCAAAATTAGTTTAAATTGATTTAACGAAATAATGTTGTATCGCATATTATTTCAAATTATATTTAGCCTTTATTATTCAACGTAATAAAAACGAAATACAGCTCCAAGTAGAAGAGTTTACAAACTGTCAGACTTTGAAAAATATCAAAGATTATTTTTTGCACTACTAATATGATTATATTTCATGCAATTTAATCAAATTTTCTACATTTAGTTATACACGCATCGATAATAATTACTTCTCTAATTATTCGAATATTATTTGAAGATAAGTTTTGCATGCGCTTAATACATCTGCACAACTTGTCGAGATTTAAGCAAAACTATATAGAAAAAAAATGTATAAATAATAGGCGTTGCGAGAAGAAAAGAATGATACGTATGTGCATGGCAGAAACCGGAGCGAAACTTTTCCTCCTAGATCTAGGAGATCTCATCTCGGTGCGATCGCGCGCGGATGATGACAGCATCCGGCGCTCGCGATGACGTCATACGGCGGGGGCAACGGCGGTGATGATCGCGTACGATGACGTCGACAATGATCGCGGACCGGCAGCAGAAGGAGGTAGGAGGAAGAAGCTTGAGCCGGCAGGCCAGGAATCGACGTCGCGTCGTTTCGTTGCCGGGCCAGTTCCTTCCAGTTCGCCGTGTCGACGACTTCTTCCTTCGCATTCCCGGATTCGCGATTTCGAACGTTTATATATGAATACGAACGGGGAAACGTACAGGTCGTCGATCCGCGACACCGGCCGGACACATGACAGTGACCCACTTTATAGCGGTTCCGATATATCGCGCTATTATATACATATGGTTTCGCGCTCCTCGGGATCGTGTCAAATCATTCGAAATAATAATATACCGTATCTCGGACAAAATTGTAATCGGACTGACGGTTTAACGCGATCGATTTTTTCCACTTGATACCGTATCCGATACCGTATTTATACACGTGATACGGCTCGTTTAACGGTGAATTCTCAAGCGATCTGTAGTGCAAAAATCTGTAAAATTGAATTGTGCGTGTCGAATAAACGGAACAATCGAAAATAAATCGAGTAGAGTGAGCAAGTGGAGTAACGTAAAGTAAATCGAACTCGATATTGGATGGCCGTATATACGCTTTCAACGCTAATTCCTAACGCATACTTGCATCAGTCACGCGAGCGCGACTCTAAATTGAGGAAAACACGGTCGGAATCGGACGGCCATGTTTTACGCTTAAAAGTGTGACTGATTATTATTAAAGCACCGTTTTAATATGTCGGACAAATTAGAAATTCGGAATTGTATAGGTCGCCACGTTCAGCTACCAAACGCAATTCGTACTTACGATTTCAATGTAGAACAAATTGTTGTATATACATTTAGCGTGTTAATCGCAATCGTTTGATTGCGTTCAACATTTAATCACGATGGAGAATTGGTCGCGTTTCGCGTGATATTATTCATCTAAGGTGCCTACTTACAGGAGGAGTTGTATTTAGCGCAAATCACAGCGCATGACATGATTATCATCACGATGTTATCGCCGGCGCCGAGAATTAAACGATTGCGTTTAACGCTAAACGCGATCGTGCGACTCTCAGACGATGATTCAATCAGATGATTCAATTCCAGACGATAATTAATTCAGCATTACCGACACATATTATAGCTGGAGTCGGACGATAAATCACGCATTCGATTCAGTCAATTCTAAAGTTTTAATATCGAATGAGTATATGAATATATACGAGAGTGTTAAGTGGACGCTAAATATGGCACGTGATGCAAATACAATTTCATATATATATAAATAAATTTATGTACCATGGCAAAAACGATTAACGCGATCAGTAATAATTGACGAGTTTGCATTAGAAGTAGCTTTTTTCTATATCTCGATCCGATAATTAATCACTTGTAGATCTCAAATTTTTTGAGACTTGAATTGAATATCGCGAGCACGAGTATATAAAAAAAAACATTAGAGTATAGGACATACATTTAATTTATTGTGTATAAAATATTTTTGGAGAAAGATAATAAAGATTATAAAATATACTGTATATATATATATAAAAAATATATTTTACTAAAGTATATATATATATAATGTAATAAAATATACAGGAAAAAGTTAGCCACTATTTAGCTGGTAACTAATATTTTAGCTATAGTTGAACAGATAATTCTATTTCTAGCTATCATAGCTAAAATTTAGATATGATAACTAAATTTCTTGTGTAATATAGGGACAGCTAAAATTTAACTATATAGCAGCTAAAATTTGTTCCATGATATAACTAGAAATATAAAAAAATAATTATGTTAAATATATTAGTATATAATAAAAAAATAAAAAAACTTGTATTATTCCTGCTTGTAGATGCATATTATATATTATATGTATATTTTATAATTTCCATTTTCTTTCTCTAAATTTGATATACATATATCGTGAAAACTATGTCCGATAATGAGAAAGATTTTCTGGCACGCATAAAGATTCGCCGCAAGCGAAAGAACTTGATAGAATTCAGGAAGGCGGTAATTTAGTCTCCACGCGCGCATTATGTCGCCTCGTGCCAGATTTGGTGAGGAACACTTGTTCCAACACGCGATTTCTATACAGCTCTCGTCATTTTTATTTTATTTCATTTTCATTTTTTTTTTTTTTTCGTCACATCAAAGCAAATATGCAAATTTCTGACGAACGATTACGTAAATAGTACATGTTAACCTTTTCGGGTCTGTTTATTTTTTGATATCGCCCATTAGAAGGCGATTACAGAGCGGAATGTCACACTTATTGCGTGTGTAATTTGAATAGAATTAATCTTTTCGATGCCATAAGTCAAGTTGCCGACAAAAATTTCAAAACTTATTTTAATTAGTGTAAGACGATTCAATCAGCGCGACGAGCAGAACTGAAAATTCTCGTTAATTAAACTAATTAATTAAACAAGTCGAATCTAGTATTTATGAGCTCAAAAAAAAAGAACTTTGTCGTTTTTAATTCAATGAGGTTGACTAGTTTGACTGAAATAATACTGGTAGAAAAAAAGCACGTTTTCTCTCGTGTTGCCTTTCCGACATATTCTAGACACAGTTTTTGTGCTCCTTAAATTATGGGATATTATCGTGATTTCCTAACTAACGAAGGATCAGGACAAAGTCCACCTGTATTTCTCCGTCTCTTTTCCTCCTTTTTCTCTCTTTCTCTCTGGAGAATGACTCGCGCACTCGAGTTCATCGACGGAAATACATCGCACGACTCAGAATGCCTTTCCTATACGTTCGCCTAACAATAAGTAACATACTTTGTCTATGTACATATATATCTTATATATCTTCGACGATAAGAGATTGTATAGTCGTCGATTCATCTTTCTACCTTCTAAAATACAGGAGCACAAAACTAATGCTAATTAATTTCAACACAACGTTCAATTTTAATCTCTTACAATTTTACTTGATTTTATAATCATTTTTATGTCGATTTGGATTTAAAATCTTGATTCTACATTCGTGAACTTTTCTCGATATTAATAATAATTTTTGCGATACACCGTCTCATCTTTTCCGAACAAAAATCGATGATTCGCTCGTGAACCACTGGTCCAGTCTCGCGATTTTCGGAGTATCGAGACGCGCGCTGGAGATCGTCGTGACAGCTAGCTTGCTTGCTGCCTTGAACCGTGACGGTGCGATAAAAACGCCGGTTGTTAATTGGCCCGCGCATGCACGCGGGATCGTGCATGGATTTACGTAACACGTGAATTCATGAGAGAGAGAAAGAGTGATTTTCGCGACGTGCGATAACGCAAATTGCGACGCGCCGGCTCTGGTTGCCAACAGCTGATCCATGATTCGTTCGCCAAACGTCAAAAGCGCGACACAATTTTTTCTTCTTTTTGTTAAAAAAAAAACGACATCGCGTTAGATCATTTTTAATTAAGTATATTTATTCAAATTGCTTATATCATTATATAATTATTACGAGATGGTCCGAAGATTAGCCTGGAATTCTGTCGAAAAACTTCGCGAAAGACACTTTGACCATTTTTTCCTCGATGAAGATTCGATTGAAAGAGCATCGTGTTTGTAGTCTTGATAAGATGATTAATTAAGAATCGTAAAATAAATAAGAAAGAACTTGATACATTCAAGGTATCTTCATATTATCCATGTTGCAAATGTTACTTTTTTTTAGAGGGAATTTTTTTCTTAAAAAATATATGTCAAGTGACGTGCGAATATTGTTCTTTTAACATCTCTTTTTACATTTGCAATATTTGCTCTTAATTAATTTGATAATTAAAACCACATTAGCTGCATGATCATCAAAGGCTTTTTCTATTTGTGAAAGTTTAAATTCGAAGAGTAAGAGATCGAGATCTCTTTCTCCATGAATTTTTAAGTTCGAGACGTTAATGTGCTCTTATTACTTTATTAATTTCCGCTTTTTCGTGCGCTATATATGAAGAAAAACTGAGGCGTCAAATACATGTACTTTTTCCGCAAATCTCGGCGAATCACCAGACTTTTCTGCGGCGTATGCTAGCTGATAAGCATCTTTATTACACACTGGCGCAGAACTTGACATAGTTCATCCAGATCGAGATCTTATTAAGGGAAGAATATCGATTTGCTGAGCACACGATTTTTCCACGCAAAGCATAAATAAATTAATGGAAATTCAGAAAAATTAATTTCAATTTATCATCAAAATCTTTTCATTCGTTTTTGATTATCACATCTATAGTGAGTGGAAATCTGTCTGTTATTTAAACTTTTGTATTAATATAAGCTCTAAAATTAATTAAGCTCTAATCAATTAATATTTTATTGCAACAAAATTATTTTAATATCTAGCCTGTATCTCTTCATTTTTCGTTCGATGAAAATATTTTGATGTATTTGCATATTTTATTGAACCCAAAAGAGAGAAAGAAAGATACGAGTTAAGGAGGACAGATCTAACCATTGTATTGATTTTTTTTCTTACAGATGGAATGAAAGACTCGCGATGCGTTCGATCACGTTGGATCTTAAGCAATGTTCTTCGATCGCGAAATGCTTGAGTGTGCGTAGTGACATCATCTGAATGGGTTACACCTGTGTGGAGCGGCCACCGTGCATTCCGGAATCCTGGAATGCGCGATAGTCAATCTGCACATTTCCAATTGAAAAGTTTCCAAGAGTACATCTTCATCGATCGGTGAGAAGTCTCTATAGCTTTATATAAATCATATGATGCAGAATGTTATCGTCGCAAAATATTGGTGGAAAGCCTGAATTTATCATAAGTATTGCGAATAAAGCAAAATAATTTAGGGAAAGATGTTCTGATTTCGTGGAAATTATATAATTCCTTTAAATACTTTACCTTGATCTTATTTTGATATGAATTAATTTACTTTACTATATTTATTGAATTTTTGTTTTAGCTTTAAAAGATTGATTTGATTAATTTTATTTCATAATCAGTTTTAATTGATTGAATTTCACTTCTTCACAGGTTTTTTTCTTTTAATAAGCACGGTGCTTATTATTTTCTTGAATTTGTTATTTTTCAGAGATTTGTATCTCTTCTTACCTTCCACTTTTTTCTAAGAGAGAATCGATATTTTGTAATTTACATTTATAATATTCTCGTCGCTTTCAATTTAAGCTGCATTAAATTCACAATTTATCATTTCATTCTATATTTAAAGACTAAATTTAACCTTTAATCAGGACAACCGAAAAAGCTTCCCGAATAAAACTTGACGATTCAAATATCATTGAATCGTCATGTGGATCTTTTCAGAGCGAGAGATGCATCCGGATGAAGTCTTCATCGGCCATAAATCGAATTGCATTGGGTCGGTGGGACTTTCGTCCGTTTGCAAAACTCGCCAAACAACAATCAACGATCAATAAAATATATGATGCAATGCGATTACAATTCTCAGTGAACGAATCAATATAATGTTAGAAAAAAATGAAGCGAATTCTGACATATAAAATAGAATAGAATAGAATATTAACATAGAAAAAAAATATAAAATTCAAATATTCTTGAATATTAACATATTCAAGAACAAATGACGAAATATATTGTTTATCAAAAATTTCTACACAGAGAGAATTTTCTTAGAAATTATTCTAAAAATCATGGTAATCGTGGGACAATAAAGTATTGGAAGAATTTTATAAAAGTTTTTCTGTGATTATAAATATTTATACAATAAAAAATATTAATATGTACATAGTAAAATTAATCGAACATATTTTATATCTCATTGTGGTATAAATATATTTTAATCACACAAAGAGAACCTCTTATAAAATTCTTCCAATATTTTCCCACGGATTACCAGAATTTTCAGGGTAAATTCTAAGAAAAAATTCTTTTTGTGTAATTTTTCTCATCTTTTCTCATTTGATTATACATTAATACTATTACATATTAATATGTTTTTAAATTATGCATAAGAATGCACTATCTATCGAATATACAAAAGTGACACATTTGGTTTTTATAGAATTAGAATTCTGAAATTATAGATTCTCTTCTCTGTACATCGATCTTTGGTACCCGTAGTTAAAAGCCGACTTTTTATTTCTGGAGCATCACGTTATGTTTAATAAGCCGTTTTTGCAAGAGGGAGTTCGAGGGGGCGAAAGAAAAATAAATTATAGCGACTTATCTCGACCTTTCTCGAGACCGGTATCGGCGTCGCCGTTCTCATAATACACGCGACTGTCACGCGGTCGACGACTGACGATAAACATACATATACGCAAACATGAAGAAGCCACTGTCTGTCACTGTGGATCGACATTTCAGTCGTTGCAATTGATTCGAAAGGTGTCTTTTTGCAGAGCTTCTCGGCGCGTTCTTTTCTTCACGTCCCTTCACGATTCAGGTATCTGGGTTTTCCACTGAACTTAATACATTGACTGACCGTTTACCCCTACGTGAAAAAAGGAAAATAAGGATAGCTATATACTTCTGGGTTGTTTCGGGGTACACGGCTCTCTTTGTTCGCTGTTCTTTGACAAAGATAGACATATACCTCTACTCACTTCGAATTTGCTTTTTCTTTCTAACTGGATGGGGGTAGCCAGGTCACATTTCAGTATATATACCTAAAGTTCTGTGGTATTTCCGCTTAGTAACGTGAAAATGAGCGAAAAGGCGGTTTCAACGAAGGCCACTGTCACCGAAAAACTCGAGAAATCGAAGAACGTAGCGTGCGAAATAAAAGGTGAGTATTGTTCGAAGAGAGCATTAAGCGACACATCGATGGAGAAAAGTAAGGAGATCACAAAGGAAGTAATGAAGAAGGAAGTGCAGGAGGCGAAATCTACGAAAGATGATCAAAATGATAAAGAGAAGGATATAAAATTAGTTGAGGGTCCTGGAGTGCGCATAACGCTGAAGGAAGAAGATCCGAAAGATATCCAAGAGGTGAAGTTAGAAAAATGTGAGATTCCTAAGGTGGACTCAAAAATACACGAAACTCTGAAGACAGAGTCTGCGAAGAGTGTTAAAGATGAAAAATCGGCAAATCCTACGAAGGAAAAAATTCATGATAAAGCGGAAGAGAAATCTACGAAAAATGATAAAAATGACAAAGAGATTCCTAGAAACACTCTTGAAGACCAAGTTAAGGGTATAAAATTAGTTGAGGCTCCTGAAGTGCACGTAACATTGAAAGAAGAAGATCCGGAAGATATCCAAGAGATGAAGTTAGAAAAATGTAGGCTTCCTAAGGTGAAGTCAACAATACACGAAGCTTTGAAGATAGAATCTGCGAAGAATGTTGAAGACGATAAATCGGCAATCTCTACGAAGAAAGACCCTGAAGAAAGTTATGAACCCGAGACATCGGGTCATCGGGATATCAAAGTATATCCAGTAAACCTCAAAGATTTAGGACTGAAAATCTTTGCTGAAGATTCTGAACTTATGGAATTGGTAAAAGGCTCGATGACGACACATTCTATAGAGGAGATTAAGAAAGAGTGTTCAAGAATTTATATGCCAAAATTTGAAGGACTATATGATTTCGAGGAAAAAAAATCAACTGAAGACGCGAACAAAACAAAGAAGATTCCCGTCCTTACAAAGGTTAGATATAAGCTTTGTTTGAAATTATATACTTAAGAAGAAAAACTTAAATAGATAGTGATTTAGTAAATAATAAATCGAAAGGGTTTTGAAATATAAATAGAACTAGGTAAGAGCCAGGTACAGAAATAAGGCGCGATAAAATTATTTTTATATTCCTTTATAATTATTTTGAATATTTCGGTTCTTCTTTTAAACCATCCTTAGCATATTAAAAGAAGAGTGAACGCAATAAACAAGTGTTGATCGTGAACACTATTTGTATTTATTGCAGAGGTCAAGATAATCGCTCCTATTCTTATCCTTCTCTCTCAAAACAATTATTAAGTTCAAAATAATTATAAAAGAATTTAAAAACAATTTTATCGCACATTCGTGGTTGGTTTTTACCAGTTTTTTTATAACATGTTTTTCTATTTTAAAAAATATTTTATCTATATAATTTTATATTTTTATTTTTTTCCGGTAAACATTAATTTTTTCTCTTAGAATATTATATTTAATTAAATTAAAAATAATAATAATTTAATATTAATAACATGCATACACACAATATATGTGAGACTAAAATTAAATGTTAAATGTAAAATAATCTGACTAACATAGGACTCGCTCGATTCTTTGAACCTTGGCGTACGTAAATTTGGCGACCCTTGTCAAACCCGAATTTGGACGAGCGTCCTTTAATCATGACGACACATCTTGTGCCTTCACTGCCAATCGAACTCTTTGAGGTATTTGCGGAAATTATCGAAGTCGTTACGAAGAAACCGGTCGTTTTGTTGTATGAGTCCAGATCTGGACGACCAGTCGCCAAGGATGTCACCGATATAGGTAAGCAAAAAAATCTAACGTTTCTCTGTAAATTAAAAAACAATGTTTCGAATAAATAAGATGTCTAGAAGATTTTTATGCAGACATCTAAAATTTGTTTGTTTAAACTATTATATTTGTTCAAAGTTTTATCCTCATTAAATACCTTCGTGATCTTCGTGTTGTTTGATTGCGATGATTCATTATAACGTCATCGTGCTTGTCTCACCTCGAGACGAACAAAATGTTTGACACTTACAACCCGGAAATAACATAGAAAGCGCGTGCTATATTGTTTTATATTACCATATTAGAAAATAGTAATTGTAGAAAACAGAACATTTTATCATTTCAATTTTTATTCATTTTCAAAGCTATCCTGCCAGCGGCTCTTGATTGGGACGACGGTGTGCTTCTACCTGCCAGCTTTGTTTTCGAACATCATTTAAATAAGAACGAATCACCCCGTGTTTACGTTGATGTAATCGTAGGGAATGATCGCGCTTCGCACGTCGAAGTAAGTAAACTTTCCATTTTTCACGAAATTTTCCATTATCAGAAAAATTAGCGAAATCTGAAAAAAATTTTATTAATTAATTATTTAGAAATATAAATAGTCTTTTGGAAAATCTGACGCTATTTATTTTCGGATTTGAAAAAAAACCTAAGTCTGAAAACGCTTCAATATTTTTCGTCTGCTGTAGAGAATCACTATTATTAATATTTTAGTCTAATTATACACTATCATTTTTTTAAATTTTAATCAACACAATGTTATTACTTGCTTCGCACATCTCATAAATTTGGCTATGTAAAACATAAAAATTGTAATTGTGTTTCTAATGTTTAACTGATTTTCTATTCAATTAAATTCATATATTAATATCAATTATAGATTAAACTTTATATATTACTTTAAAATTAAAGATGTGATAAATATTTGTTGTCCAAACTTAATTAACAAACATCTTCATTAAAATTGTATAATTATAGAATATCCGAGACCTACGAGGATACAAATGCGCCATCCTAAGTAGAAGCAATAAAAATTGCGCCACTTCATTGTTCTTCAACCATCTGTACACGAAAGGCGAAAACCCAACGTTTTTCGGAAGTATACTTGGTCAGTTTAAAAATATATATTATTTATAATATATTTATACATAAATATATTTATATATATATTATCATACTTTTATGTATTACACAGATTTTCATATTCGTTTATTATTTATATTTATTTTTGCAAAGATTTTTATTCTTAAGACTTGATATATATATAAAAAAAACAGAATATAAATATTTCTAATATCTGTTTTAGCGAGAATCTTAGCAAAATGAATATATAAATGTCAGATTGAAAAATAAACAGAATATAAAAAATCAGTACTTGCATAATAGATAGTTAAATAACATATTTTGAACGAGAAAATATTAATTAATAATGAACAATATATAATAAATTATATTTTTGATGGAAAAAAGAGAAATAATTGTAATAATATACTTATATTTTTTACTTAGTTTTATGCATTTTAAATATATCTTGCAGATGGTAATTCGCAACTTGAGGTACTGCAAATGGTCGCCAACAAACAAGCGGATGTAGGTGTCTTGGAAGCACCAGTAATCAGATGTCATAAAATGAATGTGAATGGCGCAGAGTTTCTTCAAATTCTCGCCAGTTTGGGACCTTTGCCGCCTTATCGTATCATGATTAATAAAGCGCAAGGTACAATTTTCTTTTATCTGCGTTAAAAATTTTCGAAAAATCAGTATTAACGTTAAAAAGAATCGCTCAATTATTTTTACAGCTCATATATATAAATAAGATTAATATATAATGCTTAAGCAAGAAGGAATGAAACAAATTGAAATTAAAATTTAATAAAATCTGTAAATATGAAATGAAAATAAGCATTGTATGATGAAAATAACGATCTTTCTAACGTTAAAATTGCATGAAAAGGAAAAGATTATGAGATTGTTTTAGTTTATAATTTTACCTTTAATTTTACTTTATTTCGTTACGTAATATAACTTTTTCTGCTGTTTATTAGAGCATACCCTCGCCAAAGAGCTCACAACTTATTTATTGAATATCAAGCAACACAAGGAATGGATGGACCGGCTGTCGACCTTCGGTATCGTTGGTTTTGCCGAAAATTCAATAGACTTTTACAATCTGGATGATAGAAAAGAAGTTCCCAGTAGTGTACCTTACTACTAAGACTGTTTTATAAGATTTATTTTTTATCTCTCTTTTTCATAATTTATATATATATATATTGTCTTTATTTAAGTTTTTCTTCAATAATTATAATCTCATTAAAAATCTAAATAAATATAATGGAATTCACAAATTTATCCTCAACGATTATATACATGATTCGTTACAAAAGATTCTCTCTCACTTGCTCATTCATTCTCATTCATTCTTTTTCGCTTCCTCTTCGCAATAATACGTTCTGATCCGTGATCGATGCATATAAAGTTTTTTCAAAATCGACTTTGTAAAGGGTACATAATTTCTACAATTTACAGCGTAAATAACAATAACAATACACAATAGACTTGTATCTTAATTAACGCATTCAATTTTCTTTTTTTTCATTTTTGATGTAATTCTATATCTAAAGAGCTTGACTTTTCACAATTTTATGAAATTTTTGGGAAAAATTTACCGTTTGTGAATTTTTAGATTCTGCACTTCAATATTTTTGAGTTAAAGATTTTTTTAAAGCTCTTGTTTCTCATTGCAGTCATATATAATTATATATATAATTATATATACCGTCATAAAACGAAAAATCAAAATTCAAAGTTATTAATCCAAAAACTTTGTAATATATTTTACAAATTATGTTATTGTGTGACTTACAACAAAACTAATATAATTCAACATATTTCATAAGAAAAAATTTACATGATTTCTCATTTCTGTTATCGTAATTTCATATGGCTGCTATGAGAAAACAGGAATCTTAAAGCCTATTAAATTTTTCAAAATGTTTGAGACTTTACTTCAAATAATACTCGAAGCGATCTGAAACTTTTTTACGTTCAAAATAATTAAAAAATTATATTTATTTAGATTTCTTACTGTAGTTTACTATACTTGTGATAGCTTCAGCCTACATTTAAGTCATTACGTCGTCGGGAAGATCTTATAGATCATAAAAAGTTAGGCGGAAGCATTCCATCAGCCGGACGTATAGTGCCATTCGCCAAAGCGTTGTTCAGAAACTCTTCCAACCGCATTAGAGGTCCACCACCACCGCCCGCAATATTTTGCATACGCGGATAGTACTGCTCCGACAGTAGCATCAGCAATTTGTGAAACTGCGTCGGATAGGCACTCCACAATACATTCCCAGCAACTTCAAGCATATCTAATATTAGAGTCGCACACAAGTCGCAAATGTCAACTCTTGGTTCTGAAAATTGGAAAAACAAATTTTTTTCTCGTGCGAAATAAGCTTATAATCTTTTATATTATAATCATTTTGTCTTATTTTTACTATTTCTTGTAAATTGCCATTTTTATCGTTTTTTTTTGCAGTATATTGAGACACAAATTTTTTTATTGTATATTATCAAGATGTTCGTTTCATTTTATACATAAAAATATTTTTGTATTTTTAACATGGGACATATCTATAGATGAACCTAAATCCTTATAAATTTCATACTTTGACAAATTTTTCTTTGTATATTTTTAATAAATGTCTCGAATTCAAAAAATCAATATTCAAATTTAAAATGTATTGCTCTTACCAATATTCAAAACAGCTGCCAACCATCTCCAAGCATACTGAAGACCATAGGGATGAGTCTTAGTGACACCTTTCCGCTGTCTTGTGACAGTAATCGATGCGTACAATCTCATCAAACCTGACATCCTCTTTAGGAACTTATCCTGTTTTTCAACAGTACCGTCCTCAGAGTATTTGCAGCCAAGGGATTTGTAGTAATCCTCATTGGATTGGCCCTCTTGTTGCAGCAGAAAGATTGGTATAGTGAATGGACACGCCTCGTAAAGACGCGCCAGGAAAAGTTCGCCAAAATCTGCGTGCTCATTCCAGAGAGCTACGACGATCATTGCCACAGGAAATGCCATTTCGGCTTGCTGGATACCAGCGTCTCGCCTTGGCTCTGGAAATTCATATTCATATTCATATCAATAAAAATTTATTCCCTAAGGCAGCAGAATTTAAAACTTCTTTCTAATAACAAAAAAATTTACTCTTATAATTGTACTCTATAACTTTTCTATTTAAAAATTCTATTTAATTTTTATGAAGTCGAGTTTTTTCTTTATTCTTTTCTTTTAATGACTTTTTAAGAAAAGAAATTCCTATAAATACGCACAACTATTTTTTTTGCCAAATGATCCTTGCAGAAGATCACTCCTTGTGGATGTTGAGTCACATTGGGAGATGATTTTCCAATCAGAAGATTATGCAGTCTGTCGTATTTATCTCTCAAGTGTTGCTCGCTAACACCAGAGATTGCATTTACCGGAATATTGATTGCCTTCTGACACTCGAAGCGAAATTTTTTCGTGGCAGTTGATTGTAAAAAATCCTTGCAATTTTTTTTATAGAGATTCAAGAAATATCGACTTTTGATGTAAATCTGCAACGACTCCTTATCAACATATTCGAAAAGATTTCCTGCAAATTTACAAAATAAGGTAAATTAGAGTAGATTAAAATTTTTAAATCATAACATATTTTTTCAAGATATTAAAAGGATGAATTTATATAATAAATTATTACAAATACATACACATAATTAATATAAATATTTAAAATACATTTCATATATCAATTATGTAAACTTTAACATACCTTCTTTGCATTCAGAATCTGCAGCTGTATCTTCTGGCTTGGATGCAGATATGGATAATGCATTAATTGGTGCAGCTGCTTCCTGATTTGTTATCACAGTGGAACTTTGGTCTTTACTTTCACTGTTCTCCACAGCATTACTCTCACCTGGTTGCTGAGAAGACTCCGTATTACTATCTGGAATATTTTCACTCTCCACAACTGATTGAATCTCACTTGCAATTTGTGCTTTACGAGCCAATTCCGCATCATATTCAGCATTTATTTTTTCTAAAATTTGTAATAAAGTCTATAAATATTTGTGATAAAAATTACTAAAAAAAGAAGATATTTAACTATCTGCTGGAAATTTACGAACCTACTTCCGTTCGAAATATATTCACTATATCATCTATGTGATGAACCAGATTTTCGATAACATTTACATCTGTAGATACTAATTCTCCACTCTATAAAAATCCATAATTATTAATGAAAATAGTAACAACTTATACAGAATAACTATAAAAAATTTCAAAAATTTTAACACTTAAAAATTTACGATCATCTTTTTTAGTAAATTACTACAATTCGATATTCAATAAAAATGTTTACAAACTTTAATTTTACATTTTTTGGACTAATAATTTATTTTTTTTTTATAATTACTTTGATTTTCTCATCTAAGGCTTCGATATGTTGAATCAGCTCCTTTAATCTCGCGGTATTTGCCATGAGGATCACATCTAATGCATGCTCGTTTTTACAATTCTTGGATAATGTTACGATATCACAGTATTTAGCTGTGAACTGGCCTCGATAAACCATCACAATCTTTGTCAGTTCCTCCTTTTCTTTCATTCGCTTCCGGTATTCCTCTACTTCTCGTTCAAGCTTTTCTTTTTGTTCTTGAGCACGTTGTGCTTGTAGTTGCTGTTCATGTCGCCTCTTAATTTCCTCTTGTTCTGCAATTTGCTCAATTTCAGCCATAATATCTGCCAAATTTTTCTCATTCCGACGTTCACGCTCACGTGCCATTATCGAGCGCGAATTTGCCATTTGTTTTTGGATGACACGACCATTTTCCTTCATTTGATTAATACGACACTCAATCTTTTTCTACAACACAGTTAAAATAAAGATATTAAAGTAATGAATATAAAATACTGGTCCATGTCTTTCATCTCTTTATAATATTTATTAATAAGAATATTTTCATGTAATATAGCATTAATTTTTACATAAATATGATCAATATATATAAAATAAGTTACCCTGACTTCCTCCTTTCTTTGCTTTTCACTTTCCAAAAGAATTTTCTTGATTGAGAAGTGAATGCCATTTGATGCAGCTATCGTATTGTGCTTAGGACTAGTATTAGTTTCATCTGGACTTTTAATATTACAGGAATTTTGCTCGTTCTCAATATTTTCCAGTTTATCCGAGTCTTCTTTGTATGGCACCGATTGAGAATTAATTGTGACACAATTCATCATCGCTGATATTCGCGATGCTTTCTCTAAGGCCGACACCTTGAGACTCTCAAAATTTGATGTGTCCATATCGTCCACCTTTAAAACAGCATTTATTAAGTATTTGAATACAAAAACTTCCAAAGAGCAAAATCAAAATTGTAATAAAATCTATTTATATCGTTAATTATTTAATCATTCGAAGCATGTGGAGTAATTTAAAATACTAAAATATTACAAAACTATGACAAAATGCTTATGACAAATGCTTTGAAAGTTTGTTCCAAATTATGAAATCTGTATTTTTTGTCTGCTAGATAAAAACAAACATTTATTCCGACTCACCTTAGTTTTCAGTTTCTCGCTTTTCGAATAAAGTGACATAATTTTGCGAAAAAGCGCACATTCACTTGTAAATCTAATTCCACGCTCATGTTTTCAGCGATACATACCGCAAACCGCTATACATTCGCCATTCACAACCATGAATTATGCCATACCTAGATGAGACAAAAGCAAAGTTTCCTTTTCTGAAAATAAAATGGAAACAACCGGTTCTGTGCTATGATTGGCTGGAATGAAATTTGGAACTAGGGATATCGCGTTTAATTATTTGTCCACATGAAAACTCAGTCTTTCGAGATATCGAGATATCGCGTGCGATCGAGAGTATTGAGGTTCGCGCTTCTTCTGTTATTTTCCCGCTATGGTCACGTGACTCTACGTCATTTCGGAGCCGGCTACGGGACAGATCGAATGAAAAATCGCTACACGGATTTTTCGTTTGGTAAGTCATAATTGATATCATATTTTAATCATTTTTGATTGCGTAGTATGTAAATTTAGCGTTCGGCGACGCGCGACGTATCATTATTTATGCGATGTCACATTGTTGTCATTCGGGCGGCGAAATTCCAACAGGTAGGCAGCGACGTGTGTATATGTGCGTATATATATATATGTGTGTGTGCCTAATTTTTCGAGCCGGTATTGCGAGAAAAGTATACGGGATCATTTTCTGACAATGAGTGCTTAGTGAATATCATTTGACGCATAATTAGTACACTATTAAGCAACTTGAAGGGTATTGAAGAGATAATATCTTATTGTTTGGGAGCAAATATTTCGCTCGCTTTATTCACGTGAAGTTATAGGCATTGAATGATATACATATCAAGTCGATTATATTTATATCGGTATGCATCTTATTTTAATTGTTTTCGACTGTTTTATACCTCTCTCTCTGCTATTGTGCGCATGCAAAAGTTATAGTCTTTCGAGATATCGAGATCATGAATGTCACGCGCTCATTAATTGTATTCGTATTATTTATTTATTAATTATTATTAATAAATTAAAATTTATTAATTGTATTGAAACCAAAATTATAAAATTGTTTAATTATATTTCTGCTTGATATTGTGTGCATAGAAATATAATTTAACGCGCATAATAATAATTTTCTAAAATATTATTAATTATTTTTTGGATACTGCTAATTTGCATTTTATGTTACAGATCAATGTAACTGACAATCTTCATAACGAGAGGAGGAGGAGGTCTGGGAAAGACATCAGGCACCGGTGGAGTAATCATCAGGGTAAATATATTTATTAACTTATTATGTATATATACCTAAATAGCAAAAAAATATATAGAAAAATGTTTGAAAATTTACACATTTTCAAAATTTTCAAAATTTTTTTATTAATAAAATAAATATTTAATTAATGTTAAATACATATTTATATTACATTAACGTTAAAATAAATGTATACTAAAAGGGATCAATTAATTTTAACGTTTTTAAAATATTTTTGAAAAATAATTTTAAACATTTTTTATAAATTTTTTTGTTACTTGGGTAGTTCAACTACTAGTAAAGAGAAATTTATAAAATTATTTAATTAAAATTTGAATTTAATTATATTGATTCTAATTATAATTTGTATATTATTTGTATGTTACAGATATCAACGTCAATCAAGCTTATTTAATCAACTCTGCTCTTATACATCGACTGGTGAATAACAAACTTATTTTAGTAGAAGATTGTGTGGAGATGTATAAGTCTAGATTGTAGATTGTGTAGACTGTAGATTGTATGTAGATATATAGATCCGTTACCTTATACTGGATGAATTACAAAAAAGATTAAGAATGTAATAAATATTAATACAGTTTAAGAAAAGGCTAAAAAACATTTTATAGTTACTTTATATCTAGTATATTGAACCTAATTTATTTCATAAAAAACACTAACAATTATTAATTGTATGTGTAATTGTTGTATAAATGGTTAAATAATTATAATTCAATATTATAATATACACATTTTATATTATGTAATATATTATATAATATTTTGTAATTCATCCATTCATAATTTAATTTTATATTAGTTAAATAAAATTGTATTAAAACGCTCTAATACATGAGCTCTAATACAAAAGATATTTTATCGCAGTTAAAAGAAAAAGTAATTTAGCAATATAAAATTTGCAAAGAATTTTACGATAACATCTTAGAGAGACTTTAGTACGAATTTTATACATGTTACTTTAATTTATTTTTTTTTATTTTTGTGCTTTATCAGTTGCGTGATTCTACGGAAATAAATACAAGTCGCGTTAAAAAATATAAGCTACAAAGAGAATAAAATTAATTATTGAATTTTTGTCGATTCGTAATAAAGAATGTTTGCGTAACATTTCTTTTATATAATATTAATTTATTAATATGAATATTCCTTGAAGATGGAATGTAGCATTATCGGTACTACAAAATAATAATTATTAACAAATATAGCGATAATATTGAAGCACATATGGTGTGCTTGTTGACACAAATTTCAGCAAATTTATTGATAACGCCAAGCATCAACAATAAGACATGATCAAATAAAGTGCAAAGTTTCACGAGCTTAAATACGGGAGTTTCTTACAAAGTATCGCGCGTTTAGTGCGGGAGTTCCGTACAAAGTATCGCGCGTTTAGTGCGGGAATGTCGTTTAAAGTTTAAAGTATCGCGTGTGTAAATTAAAGGACATTTAACAGTGAACATTCCTGACCAATCTGAGAGGAGGAATAAGGCCTGGGGGCATCGGGTATTGGCGGAGCAACATTAAGGTAAATATTTATTATTTGTATATTTGTTATATAAATCACATATATATTAATTTTATATTCCTGTATTTGAAAGATTTAAATAAGAGAAAACTAGAAAATAATATTTTTATATAGGTACATATAAAAGTTTATATTAAGAAAAAAATCTTTAAAAAATTTTTAAAATTATATATTTTTAATTATATTGTTGATTATTGTACACGTTAAATATAAAATTCAATATAGGTACAATGATAATTTTTAGAAATAACATTATTTTGAATGCTGCTAATTATAATTTGAACTCTTTTTGTATGTTACAGATCAACGTAGCTTCATGCAGTCAACTCCGCCGTTGCTCATCGATTAAGTGAGTGAATCATTATTTTATTAAGGTAACGGATTTGTAGAAATTAGATTATATAGAGATGTAGATGTAGATTTAGATTGTAAACCGTAGATGTAGTTCCGTTATCTAAAAATGGATGGATTACAATAGATAACAATTTCTGTATTAAGAAAAAAGGAGATAGAGAATACATTTTATATAATATGTATATAATATATTTTTATAATATATTTACTTTAATTTATTTAATAAAAAACGCACTAATGATTTTTATAATTGTATATGTGATTTAAAAAATTATTGAAATTAATTTGATAAATAATTATATAATTATAATAATTTATAATAATTTATAAATATAATAATTTATTATTATTATACATTAATTTTATTTCCATTTTTTGTAATCCATTCATTCATCTTGATCGATAACTTGTCTTTAGTTAGAGTAAAGTAGAATAAATTTATAGTCAAATATATATAAAATTAATCGCATTATTGTGTGTACTGGATATATTTAAATTAAAATATCCAGCAATATACATATAAGAAGTTATTTTTATATTTCTTATTTACAAGAGAATGTTATATATATATATAAAATTTGAACTGTGAGAGATTATGTACATATATCTCTCTTTATATATTTATTTCTTTCCTGTCTTGTTATATTTTTGAATTTTTGAAAATAAGATATTTCAAATACACTTATATTTGTTTATCTAATCTTGACAATAATTATATAATACATAATTCTATTCAACTCACATAGTTATTACTTTATAACGTCGCGACACCTGTAATTCACACAATTTGAGCAACGCAGTTTGCATCAGAACTTGCGATGCGCACTAATTTTGAAACATTTAATTAACTTTGCAACATGTTTATTATATAAGCGCTTGTTTCCCTGGCAAAGCTGTATTAAATGCAGCAAACCCTTTGCGTCTTAAATAATAATAAATAAATAATAAATAATAAATTTGACTTACATATGTGTGTGATAGCAACATATGAAAAGCAATATAAAATCTAGAAAAACATCCAATAAAATTACAAATAGAAATTAGTTTATTAAAATAAAGTTAAATATTATTTTTGTGGAAAGTAAAAAAAACGTAAAAAATTCAATATCTTTAAAATAATAAAAATTCTTTCAAAAATAAAATAATACAAAATATAAAATAAAATATTTGCTTCGATTTTATAGATTACATTTGTGTTATTTTAAAGAGAAAAAGAGAGAAATTTTCAAATTTATATTTATTATTTGTTACCCGTTTATTTCTCGTTGAGATATATATATATATATATATATATATATATATAAAGTGTATTTATGTACAATGTACAAATAAGTGCAATGTAATTTGCAAGATTAATAGTAACGATAGGTTCTGTCTCCCTTGACGTTCTCGTCAAGGAAAATCGGATTTTCAATTGATCAGAGACTGTCATTAAAATCAACATTGCAACAGCTCTGTAGAACATTTTTCTCTTCTACATTAATTTATTAACTCAATTCAATCCTCACTTTTAACTTGTTCGAGCTCTTTCCCGAAAATAAACATTGACTAAATTGTTAAACGCTGGTGAAACTTTAATTACAAAAGACATGGATGTTCGATTGGCCGACAATTGTTGATGATTGGTGACAGCATGAGAGTTATTTAGAACTTTAGGATTAATGAGCAATAAAGTTAACAGATGCGGCAAAATACTGATTTTCAAATCACAAATAATAATCGCGATTAAATCTTTTGGGATAAATACGGCAGGTCGATTTAATCTGATTAACGCCGAAACGTGCTACGAGAATCTCACATTTGCATCTTATTGTATCCTGCTGTTAGATTAGTGATTGAGTTATAGGATTACACGGGTAGAAGGAAGAATACGACACGGATTAGAAACATGAAACTGCAACTGCAGCAATTAACATCGTATTATTCATAAATTAAAAGAGAAATTTATGTCCTTAATTTATTCTTATAAATAACATTACTTTCATTCAAAAATTGACAATTTATATCGCATTTAATTAGAATAGCAAGCAAAATATTTTTATTTATTTGAATTAAAAATTATAAAATATTTTAATTTGAATTACGTTTTGTCTATGTTTTCTCATTAGGAGTAATTGTCAAAGTAATGAAAGCAAGATAACAATTATTAAGTTTTAGATTAAAAATATAGATGCTTTTATTAAACTTAGAAGACATGCTGTCATTAAATTTAAACAAAAACGATATGAGAAGTAGCGAGTACAGAATATTTTCTTGAGAAAATTTCTTTTAGATGTATTCTGCCTAGAGTGTAAAAGTTAATATCTCATCAAGATAATATTACTTTTACAGTTTTTTAAAAAATTATTTTGCAAAGCGAACTTATCAAAAAAACTATTAAAATTTAATAGTTTTAAAATATTTATTTGTAATGTCTTTACAAAATTACTCAACTATTAATTTTAATTTATTCATTTTGTTTGCAATTCTCTGCAAATGTTTTTCAAACACATGCTTAATTTTAATACACACCATTAAAATAATGTTAATTCAGCACTTCGATCGTTAATGCTAATTTCCTATTAATTAAAAAAGCAATAAATTTGAAAGCTGAGCAACAAATTCAAAATTAATTGATACTTATAATTATGTCATAATTTGAGTTTGACTTTTTATGATGGAAGTATTGGATTAAAAAAAGTTTGGAATGTTAATATGGTTTTAATTAAACATATTCGATTTCCATTTAGGGCTTAAAATTATTAAGCTCATAAACCAGGATGAAAATTATTAAGCTGATATGTCAAGATTAAAATTATTAAGCTGATCAAGATGACATTATTTTAATCTCATATCAATTTAATTAGGCACTTCGAAAAAACAAGCATTATATGTTTTCGCTAGATATCTTGAAAATATAAAATGAAAATGCTATCATAATATTCGAATAACAAGCGCTCGATGTATACAAGAAGGGAATCTCCGGTACATAGTTTTATTTTTAATATCATGTGTGTTATGATAGAAAACCTACAGTATCAACGAGTATAGTTTTTTGTTTTTGATATTTTTTTGCAATATACATTTACATTAGAAGTACATTTATCCAAACTTAATATAATTTTTAGGATAGCTTGGGTTTTTTAAAAATTATATTAAAATTTAGAAATTTATAGCAGGTTTTTAATATTTGGAAACAGGAAAATAATTTTTAATACATTATGTATAATTTAATACAACACATGATTGGAAATTAAGTTTTGAAACATTAATTTATATGGAAATTGGCGGTACACATTTCATCATTTTTATTTAGCATTCAAGCATATGTTTGCTGAAACTGCTTGTAATTGCTTTCAATGATAATGACATTATCAAATGTTTTAGCACAAATTTTTAAATTATTTTACATTTAAAAATTTTTCAATTTTACATCATTGTTAATAACAATCTAATAGATTAGATATTTTTTCGCAATGCATTTATATATAATATAATACATATATATATTAATTATATATTGTTATATTATATTACGGCAACGTCATTATTAAAATGTTATTTCTTTAAAATCAACAACTTTATAATATAGGTATTATTTATAAATTAATGAACAAAAATGTGTAATTATTATAGAAAGCAAAGTGTTTTATTAATTATAATAGATCTCTTGTTACAATTCACAAATTATTAAATCGAAAATATTAGTCTTTAAATGGAATCGATTCAGTTACAGAGTACATGTGGGAGTCGCGAGGTGGTTTTCTACCCCGTATAAGAGTATTCAATCAATCTCATATTTATTAATCGCGGTTGGAATGGAATCAAGTAATATAAAAATCCACTCTATTATTGCATATATGCAGGAATATAAATATTCGTCGACAATTTCGATAATCGATATACATATTTCAGAAACAGTTTAATTCATTCGGGGAAGGTGAAGGAAAGGAAAGGAGAATGAGAATATGGTTCTGGAAATTAAAGTTTTCAATTACGAAAATATAATATAAAATCTTTAATAGCCATGCGAAGGGAACGGAGCAAGCAATGAATATTTGAATCCCGCGATTTCGATTTTACATCTTTTCTTTCTCTTTTTCTCGCTCACGCATTGAAATTCTTTGCACACCTCTCATTATGTACCTGAAGCACGAAAAGAAGAATAATTTATCTTTTACCTGTGGTTTCTTAAGATTACTTGTGGGAACGCGAGTAATCTTCCAGTAATCTTGCGAATATATTATGAAACCCCTCTTTTCTCCGACATGTTTGTTACACGCGCAATTGTGTACATACAGACACACACACACACACACACACAGTCACGTACACATATTTACATATTTGTCTTCTTTTTTACAAGCTCTCTTTTTAATGAGCTCACTCTTTGTCACATACTATCTTTAAAAAACACAACAAACTTGCGAGCTCCTTTCAAAAGTTGCACTGCAATCTCGAGAGACTTTGCTTAGAGCTTTTCTGCAAGAGCTTCTTTCAATTCAAGAGGTAGTTTGCTCGAAACGTTACACATGTGTTTATAAAACATACTGTTGATCGAATTCCCGAATGTCTTATCTATTTCGTCGGCAGGATATGCCGAAAAGGTGCGACACATCGTATATTTATTTTCCTTCGAAAAAATTCAAGATTTCTCAAAGGATTTCACGTTCCTCTTGCTCTTCTTGTTTCTCGCATTTCATTATCATGTGTTTGTCCTTCAAGTGGTGTTTGTGCGATTCTTTTAAAATTTGAAAAAGGATTGTTTCCCGACGTCGCAATATATCACTTCGCGATTCTTTTGTAAGGAATTATCTATTTTTCCGTGTAATTCTTAATATTTTTTTTTTTTTTTTGCGTCTAAAAAATGTGAGAACGTCGACAGACATAATTTGCCGATGAATAAATTTTAATTATCTTACTCAACAGCTGTACAAATAGCGAAAAATAAAATTTAAAAAATTATATTAAAAAATTATCTGAACAGTATTTTTGTTTATATACATTGTTTATTATTTATAATAAAAATTAAATAGATAAAGCATTTCGTGTATGTATGTGTGTAATTTAAAGCTGTAATAATCTTCAAAGAAATTACGAAAATACAATATATATATAAAGTAATATTGAAAAATAATTAAGATTGAAAATAGCGAAATATGTAATTACAATACTTTTTATATTATATATTGATGTTATCAAATTATAATGAAAAGATTGAAGTTTTATATGTTTATTTAAGTAATTCTTCCGATGAACTTAAAGCGCATCAATTATTTATTATTGCTTAAGATTGCAAACGTTTGACAATACGTTTCTTCTTTTTCGTCTCTTATATATCTTTCAGTCTTTTGCACTTAAAGCAAACATTTTTTTATATATTTTATCGTTTATACTATTGTCTATTATCTAGTCGAATGTATTGAACCTTATCTCGCGTCTCGATTTCGTCACTTGTACATTTTCCTTATAAGTTTATGTACGAAGCACCCATATTAAATTAATTCCGCGTCGTGAAGTTTAATTAACTCTGCGATATTTTCACTCGATATATTGCACAATATATATCCCGTATTATAACAAATAAATATAACTGCTGTCAATACCTCCACACCACACTCATATTATTTTCCACGCAGACACAGAATTTTATTTTGCTCCGGAAAAACATCGCAAAATCCCCAATATGTTTTTTCGAGGAGAATATCGCGGTGTCTTTTTCCGAAATAATCGTCCTTCATCGTGAGATAGCACATTCCCCGTTAATCTGCCCATCAGTCAACCTCGTTTTGGTATGCAAAAGTGACACGGTAGCTTTTTATCCTGCAATTCGAGGACAACAAAAGGTGATTTCTTTTTATTTCCATTAAAATAAGCCGAGAATCAGATACACGTCTCATTTGCCGCGGTCATTTGTGCGTTATTATTAGTTCTACCGTTACTCGAATGCACGAAAAACGAGGATCTCATCTTCGTATCCTGTCGTCGTGCATCAGGACTGAGAATGTTGCAGGATCTTTCCGCGTTGCAGTGACCCACTTCGTCATCCTCGTCGTCGTAACGTAATCTCGTCGGCGAACGAAGCATCTCGTTCACATGCAACATATTGCATCTGAAAGTAACCAGAAGTCGCGATCAATTTCAGTTCATAATTTCATAATTATGAGATTACGCCAAATTACTTTCACATTTTTAACACAAATCAAAGAGTGCTGATGCTGAAATCGAGCTCTAAATTTGTAAATGCAACAAACGATAGTGTTATATTGTTAAATAATTATATATAAACAGATTGATGCATAATTACAATTTTTTTATTCCTTATTTTTTGTTCCTTAATTTTTAAAATTTAATTTTTTCGTTACTTTCATTTTTTGATATTAAATATGCTTAATAAAGAAATTTCAAAAAGTAAATATTGTAGGCCAATTAAACGAGCAAAATTAAATAAGGTCTAAAGATTTATTAATAATTAAATTCTCATTCCGTTAGAGAAACAATATACAGCGTAAACGTTTCGACTGCACTACAGTCTTCTTCAATACATAAAAATCAAATATTAAAATACAAAGTTAAATATTAAAATACAAAGTTAACGATTTTTCGCTGATGACCAATGGATGAGTAAGACGATTGGTCTGAGATTCCAAGTTTTGCGACATTTAATCATGATTATCGTTTAACAAGTTCTTCTTCTCGATATTTCAAGTGTGTTGCGAAGTCTAAATAACAAAATGATTTGATTGATTTGTTATTTAGACTTCGCAACACACACTTGAAATTTCGAGAAGAAGAACTTGTTAAAACGATAATCATGATTAAATGTCGCAAAACTTGGAATCTCAGACCAATCGTCTTACTCGTCCATTGGTCATCAGCGAAGAAACGTTAACTTTGTATTTTAATATTTGATTTTTATGTATTGAAGAAGACTGTAGTGCAGTCGAAACGTTTACGCTGTATATTATTTCTTTAACGGAATGAGAATTTAATTATTAATAAATCTTTAGACCTTATTTAATTTTGCTCGTTTACTTGGCCTACAATATTTACTTTTTTAAATTTTGTTAATTTATACGAGTCTTTCATTAATTAATACTTAATAAAGATTTTCAGTGTTTATTCTTAAGGAGAGCAAGTGCTTAATTTTTTCACCGATTCCAAGGGGGGCAAATGAAAGGGTTAATAAATTCCTACACGTATGCTTACTTAATGCTACGTTGGTGATGTATGCTTCTTACACGGATCACCTGGGATCCTCTTCTGGATCCGCAGCCGCATGCCGTGCTGTCCCTCATGCTGCTGAGATCATCCCTTGTGATGGTAGGACTCGTTGGTGCACAGCACAGAGTCTTCTTGAACGCCATCCTGTACTTGGCGCTCATCACGTTGTACAGGATCGGGTTCGCTGTTGTGCTAAAGTAGTATAAGCAACCACCCAGAGGATACAACCACTCGTTAATAACTTCAAAGGCCGATACTTGATACACGTACAATAAGCGCTGAGCATGGAAGGGCGCCCAGCAAATAAAAAATGTTATCACGACCGCACCTGTGGAATAAAGCTATTGATAACATTCATGTTTCATTTTGAAGATGAGGGAAGGTACACCAGAAGCCTTGTGTGGAGAATTATTCAAAATGATATAAAAGCTACGACTCCCATGCGACTTTCACTCATTGACTTTTCTGACTTATATGTAAATTTTATTTTCAACATCAATCAAATATCTCACTCTGTGATAAAAATTTTAAGTAAAAATGTTTACTAAAGTGAAATTTTAGTTGAACAATTTAGTTGAAAATAAACGAGAAAATAAGAACGGTTTTCTCTTGCAAGTGATTTAATTCGTTAAATTATTATTTGTTAGAGAAGTTATCAATAAATCTGCAAATCATCTATGTATTGAAACAGTAAAAACATCTCTTACAAATACTTCTACTTTGCTCGGTTATATTTGTCCATTTATACTGTTGTTGGAGTTTAAAGTAGCAATTTTGAAAACGGAAAAAATTTAATGTTTGATCGGTGTCTTTTCAGTATTTCAAATTGTCCAGAATAAAAAATAAGTAGGGTCAGACAAGCTTTAGAATTGTATAGATTTAGTAGTTTAGGCAGGATTCAAATATATATATTTTTTTTATCGCTTTGTCTACCAATTTCTTTCTCAATAAATATAATACTGCATATACATACATAAGTTTGCTTATTTATATATATATATATATATATATATATATATATATATATATAGCGAACTTATGTAAAATATATATGTATTGAGTGAGAAATTGACTGGCAAAGTGATGAAAAAAAATATATATACGTATGTGTGTTATATGCATATGTACAATACATGTAATGTACATGTATGTGTATGAATATAATATGTGTAGATGCCGCAGAAAAACTTGGCTTATTTTTAGATTTCTTTTTCAAATCTAAATATTTGAATTATCCGTGTATGAAACTAAATCATATCTTAAATTAAATTAAAGTTTTATTAAAAATTTCATAGACGCATTGTCAAAAATTTTTTTTGTTTTTTAAAATATAGTTGATCAATATCAGTAAAAAGCATTATGTAAAAGTAATTTCTGAGGAAGTTTGAGAATACAAAATTATTTGATTAATTCTTTTTCATTATTTACTAAAAATTAGTATGGATGAATTGATGTATGAAATTGGTATATGGATGCACGATCTAAAATAGGTTTCAAATCTTTCTAGTAACATATGACAAGCTCTCTCGCGCATTTCCATGATTTATTACACATCGTCGAGCTAGAATATCTCATAGACGATATTATATCACCATAAATTGACAAGTTTATATATGTCGCCCTACATAAATTCTCATAACTTTGAACTTGAGCCGCGTTATCAAGAAAATACGGAATCGAAGCGGTTTGATGATTAATCAACGATATGCAACAAATCATTCTCTTATTTTCGTAGGAATATTCAGCATTACAAAGATGATGTTGATATACAAGATGTTTCGAAAATCATACACAGTATAAAAGTGATGTGTTCTTCATACAAATGCAAATCAGAAATATAGACAACAATTTGCAATTTAATGAAATAAATGAATTATTAAAACATTCATTATTTTGTCTCATCAAGTTATGACACCATTTACAAATACGAACAGAATAATTGTGTGTAATTAGATTCTACATTTTCGATTAGCATATTTGCTAATTGATATGTATGAAAAAGTACAATATCTCTATTTCATTGAGATCATGATTATCGATACATCTGTATAATTGTGATTGTCGGAAAGAAAGATGATGCTTACGCAAAATATGGAAACTTTTCTATTGAAAATAATAAAATTAATAAAATAAATTTCGGTTTAATTATTTATCTTTAATTAATGTTTAAAAGATAAATTATATATTGAACAAAACAGAACACAACGATTTAATGTATTACTAATTGGAATCAAAATGCAAATAAAAATTATTAGAAATTTATTTTTTTTTTTTTTACATGTTTCATTAGTAATATGCGTGTACAAAATCTTATATTTTATAATGTTCTTTTTAATATTAATTTTTATTATTCCGATATAAACGATATAAACCGCCTTTTTAAATTCATTGAATGAGAAATTGAAGACACTTGAAATCCGCATGAAATCCTTTTTTGTATGTCATGAGCAAATTTAACTTTTCACAAAGAACTTTATAAAAGGATAGAAATTTCCTGCGAATACGCTACAAGAAATATGTATATTGAACGCCGCATTGCATATTTAACATCACATCTTTTTCGGAATAAATAAAACGTTAGAAAGTTGTTCATGTTAAGCAAGTGACTGAAATACTTTAGTAATCTTGAACAAATGTTTTATTGATGACTCTACAAACATTTGTTTAAAAAAAAAAATATATATATATATATATATATGAAGAATCAAGCGAACTTTATTTGTTCAGAGGAAGAAAAGATATCAAAATTCTCAACTCTACATCTCAAAGTTAACAAAGAGTTGAAGCATTGACGGATATGCTTATTCTGCGAAGCATATGTGAAATCGAGCTTTGCCAATGACATGCAGATTGCAGAAGTGAAAATCGTCTAAAGTCATGTCATTGCATACATGAACGAACTTTAACATTTTCCATCATATGGAACGTCTGCGCGAAAAGGAAAATCATGCTAGTTTCTAGAATTTTAATATTACCATAATAACTAATTTTACCCAACAAAAATCGTGTGTTTGTGATGTAACTCGCCTTGTAAAATACGCTCAAAATGATATTAATATAGAAGTTTAGACGAAACATATTTTATCCAATACAGAAGAAAAATTATAACAGTAATTTCTTGACGAAAAGAAATATTTTTCGCAAGAAGCGAAACATTTATTTAAATTAGATATCTTTTTTTTATTATATATGTTTTTATACATACAATATATGAGCGATTATAAATCTGAACTTTAAGGGGATATATTTATATATCAGAAAAAATAAAAAATATATGATGCTGATATTTTCAAAAGCTTCCTCGTTTTAAAAATAATCTACAATCGTATCGAGTTTAATTGACTCTTCAACTCGGTATAATCAATCAATAGTAAATGAATGGACAACAATGTATTATTTTATCGTGTTTGATTTGTAAAACAAAAAGAGACCAGAAATGAAACAACGCTCGGAGATATAAAATAAAATGATACGATAAATTCCGAGTTACGTTGCAGCTTATGTAAATGCATGTATGTGTTCGTTTATGTTGTGATTCGGAAAAGACGGAAATTTACTGAGCATTCGAAGGATGGCTTTTCGTGATTGAGCCTGCCTCGTTTCTCCATGAACGGAGCCCTCGATGCTGCGCCCGAGGCCGTTGCTTTGTATTCGGAGACCCATTCTCACATAGAGCACTGCTATGGATAGCATTGGCACGAGAAAGAATATGAGGCAACTAAGCTCGTAAAGTGGGAACTTAGGCATGTTAGGCAGCAACATGGCACACATCGCCGATTCCTCCGAATGGCGACCGGATTCTGCAAACAAATGCGAGAAACATAGGCTTGTTTCTTAATTTGCCGCGTTAGATTCTTTTATTTCCCAGTTTCTTTCTCTAACAATAAGCTGTACAAGAGTAAATTATTATATTTTTTAATTTTTGAATATTTATCAATTCGATATTTTGTAATTTTTAATTTTGGTTTTATTTTATTCAGTAGAAAATGGCAAAATTTCTTTATAATAATTATGAATAAGAAAACTTACTCAGACGTAAGTTTCAAAAAAAGATTTATTAATATCTTTTGATATGCGGATAAGGATATTTCTTTTTTTAATTTATGTTGTAGTTACATGAATGATTACGAAATTAAATAATCATATTTTTTAATTTTTGAGTATTTATCAATTCGATATTTTGTAATTTTTAATTTTGGTTTTATTTTATTCAGTAGAAAATGGCAAAATTTCTCTATAATAATCATGAATGAGAAAACTTATTCAGACGTAAGTTTCAAAAAAAGATTTATTAATATCTTTTAATATGCGGATAAGGATATTTCTTTTTTTAATTTATGTTATAGTTATATGAATAATTACAAAATTAAATAATCATATACATAGCCATAATTTATTAAAAAACTTTGGTCTATTAAATGTTAGAGAATGTGATATTAAATTAATATCCTGAAATATACATATATATATATTCTCTTGCAAATGAAGAATTTTGTTATAATCTCTCAGCTGTATATTACAGTTATTGGATTAAAAAATTTAAATCCTATCAATACAGCAACGTTGGAACAATATTCTGACTAATCAATTCGCATTGAACACATACATTTTATACGTGCAGTTGCATAAAACATATTTAAATACATTTAAAACAGAATTTACTTAATATACAATTTGGGGCAATAATTCACACTTTTCACACTGACGTGAATAACACGTGGAGATAAATAAAAGTTGTTTTTGCGATTAAATATATTTGGTTTAAATATTGATTTTAATTTAATTCAAATATTTTTGGAAAAACTTATTAAATTTGTGGAAAAATATGTTAATGCAATTCTATGGATGTTCTACATATATTATTTTGAAACAAAAATTTTAATTATTCTATGAAGTTAAAAAGTTAATTACTTTTTTTATTTTTTCATATTAAACTAAATGTCCTCTGATTATAGGTATGACATATGTTAAATAGGACGTTAATATAAATGGGCCATGAGCTGCAAAGCGGCAATATATTTCAGGCACACCAAAATTATCAGTATTAAAATTATGAATTGCTATAATTTAAGGCGATGTATTTCAGCAGACGAAATTCACGACGAATATTAAATTCTGTGCAGAAACGTGAAATATCTGTTGCATTTGACGAATGTTTGCTGCCGCTATAATTCGTTTATCTTGCATTTTTACAAAAAAAATCATGTTGCGAGAGTATGGAATACACGAAGAGGGAAAAAAGAGATATTATTTTTTTATTCATTTTTTTGTTAACAATACACAGTATTAAATCCGCGAATCATCGTAGAATCATTACGTACATTAGGACGAAGAATGGTGTACATTTGTTTGTTGAAATTGAATTAAATGCGGTATAAACCGCATTAATACGAAAAATACACGTTTGTGAGATTTACTGTTTCCGCGGGATCTTTTGCAGGATAAATGCATTTCTCAACACTGTTAGATTTACGTATTCCCCGCAGTCGGATGTAAACTTCTCGTTCAAGCCAACGTAGCTGATCGATAAACGCGATTTTGACCCGTAAATGACCCGTTATTGTCCGCGATAACAAACACCGCGGAAGATTTCTCTTTATGCGATGTAATTACAGTTGCATGCACACTTAGTATTGTCGTCATGTACGGCGCTGGCGTTTCTCATTGAGTTTCTAAACGGTACTTGATATTATCATGTAGCTGCAAATGACATATCTGTGAAAGACCTCTTGTTTTACAAAAGATAAATATCTAGCATATTTTTCGACATCTATTCTTTCTTCGAAAGACGACGTAATCGAATGTAAAATGCAAAGTAGAAAGAAACTTGCTGTAGCATAACTTTTAATCTGATTACTGTTGCAACTTTTAATCTAATTTCTATAAGAAATTAAATTTTATTAACTTCCGATTAACTCTCTTAAAAATTACAATAAATTAAAATCAAAAAGGAAACTTAAATTAAATTGAATCGAACTTTAATTATAATTAAATAGATAGATGTGTAGGATAGAAAATAATAGAATCATTTTCTTTGTTATTCTAAGAACTTGAAAACATAATTTTGAGAGACTAAAGGAATTATGTTTTTGTAAAATAATTTTCTATTAAGTTTTTTTAGTTGATGCACGTTACTGGAAAATTTAAAGATATACACGAAATGTCGAAAGACATTTTTTCAATCGGAAATCTGCGATGGAATAATCCATAATCGTATAGTCATAGCACGGAATTCTATTCCGCATGTTGTAGTTCGCTTGAATGAACGACTTCACAATATAAAGTCCAATATACTTATGATCAAAATAATCGCGGCAAAATGCGATCGCGTCGCAGAATTAAGTGAGACAAATTTCTACAAAAAGAATGCTACTCTTTTTTATTTTCTAAAGCTTTTATCTTTTTTTTTACTAGTTTTTTTACTTAGCTTTTAGATTATAAGTTCGTCAATGTTATGTTTTTATATAATACTCTTTTAAATATTTATTGTTAGCTGCTTTTATTTTAAAAAACTGAATTTCTTATCTAATTTTTTATCTTAATTCTCGACTGCGTCGGGTTTTATTATATATTTACTTTTTAATTACGACGCTTTATAAAATTACTTTAATAATTATATGCTACAATATTTGTACAAGTTATAATAAAATCGCTTACAATTAATTTGAATATTAATTATTAAGAGTGAAAGATAACTTGTTGAGTGTCACTTTAATATATTTTTGACATATGATTTGAATGAATAAAATATATTAAAAATACAAAAGAAGTAAAAAATAAATGTAAATATTGTAGAGAGAGATTAATAATTTAAAATCACACATATTTATATACAATATAAATTTCTATAGAAATCGAAATTTGATGAAGTTTTATTTTTTTCTATTTTATATTTATTTATGTAATTAATTAATTATAATTTATATATACATATTGCACAATGCTTTTTATATTAGAAGAGCTTATTGTGCATAAAAATATAAAATCGATTAATTATTCTCTTTGCTATATCTATGATTAAAATAAAAAATTGATAAAAAATGTTTAATTGGACGTTTAATACGTTTAGTACGAGCATGCACTTTAAACAGGTTTATTCACCGATAACGCGCAAATGTACTTATGACGAGCAAATAGACCGACCATAATTACATGCAGATAGTAAACGCTCTGCGTTCATGCATTTACTTAGCTCTTTCCCTCAAATAATCCCCTGCACATCGTAATCGGTTTATATAAAAATCTCTTAAAAGAAAATAATAAAAACTCGATAAATGTATCGGTCACAGAAAAAATTAGATGATTTTTTCTCAAAATACTGAAATATACCATAAAATACATTATATTATCAAATAGTTTTTCTATTATTTTATAAAAATAAGATTTTTAAAGACAATCTTCTTAAGAGAATGAGTGCTTTCCTACTTAATGACACTAGTTGACACAAGCTGACACAAGTATCATTCTATCTTTTATTATTCCTGAATATTGAAAAAAAAATAAAATGATGCTTGTGTCGACTTTCGTCAATTTATGTCACTAATACAAAGCATCTAATATTGACTCAATTATCATGCTATATGTAAAAATTACTACGCAACTTTTCGATAGACATTTCTGTTATTGAGAATGATATTTATATTATTCATTGTGTAAAATTTTTATATCTACTCATAAGCATTTAATCGAACAAGTAGATTGACTAACACACAGAAATCACTCACTTGGTGGATACTCGATGTAATTGACGGTCGTGTAAATGGCGAAGGGCAAGGCGAAGATAAGAGCTAGTAACCAGGCACCTACGATGAATCGCACAGGCCGTTTAAGCCCACTCATGGCATACAAATGCAAGGGATGACATATCGCTAGATACCGCTCCAACGAAAATATTACTATTGTTAACACTGACACATAAGATGACCTTGAAAAAGAAACGCACAATATAATTTTACAATCACAAAATAATTATGCAAAGTGATCATACAACTAGTTAAAGAATCTTTGACAACCAATTAGTAATGTTAGATTTGTGTGTGATTATGTTCTCTATATACATATTTCTCTCACTTACAAATTAACAATACTAAAATTTACAATATTAAAAATACTTAAATTTACAAATTTTCTACATTTTCTAAAATTAAAAAACGTGTTTTTTGAATTTTAAAATGTAAATTAAGAAGCATTTGTAGATTTTATTATTATATGTAATTATTATATGTAATTTTTAATAAAAAAATACGTTTGCAACAGAGAAAATGTAAGGAGCTTTATATCAAAGAGAAAAAGTTCGTTTTTGCTTTTTATATGCATAAATGTTGCAAGATCTGCATTTCTTTTATACAGACATTTCCTATAAATTATAACAAAGAAGATGTCTCGTGTAATCTAAATGTAAAGTAATGAAATGGGTTACGGGTAACTATTACTACGTAGCTTTGAGACTGCTTTATGTAGTATGTTAATGAATTTCACAGTTATTTTAGCATTATACGTTCTGTTTGCAGATCTTTTGAATTTAAGTATCTGTAATAAATGCAATTATGTAGCTAGCAAAATTTTTTCGATCAATTGCTCCTCAGTTTATTTACAATTTATTTTTAATCATTTTTCTTCGAGAATTTGTAACAAATAATATAAATTGCCAACTGCATTAGAAATCATCTAAGATTTGAAAAATTAATCTATTAAACCTGTTTCTTTGTTTTTATGGTTTATTTTATTTAGTAATATTTTTATTGTCTTACATTTCTGAAACGTATGCTCGTATTTTGCACAAACCCACTCCAAGTGTCCATGGATATTGTTGCCAAAATACGCTCAACTCATTAGGCAATCCTGAAAACAAAGAAAATATCAATTTTACATGTATTAGTTATATTTTTGTCAACTAATTCTCGATAAATCATCAATATAATAATATATAATTTCATGGCTAAATCAAAAGAATATATTAGCATTGTACAGAAATTACTTAATATTTAATTTATATTTGTTATTATCATGCCTATTTTATATAAACTGTAACTAATCGGTTTTAAAAAAGCTGAAACAAAATTATAAGAAATCAATGAAATAATTAGTTGAATACCTATTCTCTTTATGCACTTTTTTCTTCCGAGAGATTTATTAAGTATCTTTATCAGTATATAATAAAGGTTGTGAAACGTCTCGATAAATTCCAATAGAAAAATACTGAGTATGTGAAAGCCAAATTTCAGAGTAATGAAAGGTTTTTTGCTAAAAGTGAATGTGTGCAGATGTAAAATAAGTGAACACAATGAATTATGTAAATGTAAGAGAACTAACAATAGGGGAATTAGAGATTCAGTTATTATAATTTCATTTGATTAAAGAACTCATGATCAGTTACTATAGTTACAATGTGTACAATCGAAGCAATCAACATTACAATTCACGCTTTAATGAATGCCCTATATAAATCAGTGTCCTGTTCTTGATATTTACAGATTATAATTTTAATTTTAACTTTTCGACTAACAAAAGTTTTTGAGAGTTTTTGCAATAAATATACTTGTCTATCTTATAACAGATTTATAACTTATAATATAGATTTCATAACAGCCGTAACAGAAAATCTTACGAAATAAAGTCTAAAATAAAATATGAAATTGAAAGATGTCATCTATTGGCGATTTAACAATATGTAGGCATCATTGTTACAAGAAAAATTACGAGAAAAAAAGTTAAATAGTTTTCTCCCTCCCTATGATAGGTCAAAATATTTAACGTTACTAATTTTTCTTGCGTGATAACAACAACCAAACGAGATTCCAATACTAATTGTGTTTACAAGCGGTGCAGTAAATTGCCTGTCACTGCAAATTATTTTATAATTTGTTACGCGTTATTTGTGTCCGATGACATAGCAAATACTTCTTATACTTTTTCGCGCTTGCCAACGCATCTACTTTACATCATTTATTATTATTATGTATTCGTTGCATAAAATGATTTTAAATTAAAAATAAATGTTATTCAACATTTTATTTATTATTATATGTTAAAAATAAAATTAACGTTGCTTGACATTTAATTATTATACATTATTATCTGTGATGTAATTCTCTTATAAAATTTTTTTTGCAATCACAATTTTTTCTAATAACGCAAAAAGTTAGAAATTGATAAAGTAATATTATTTTGTTATTATATGATCAAGAACGATGTTATAAAGACTATCTGAAATATAAATTTTATATTTAAGAAAAATATTGACGAAAATGTAACGTTATTTTGTGAAAAGAATCGATTTATGAAAGAAAAAAACATAATTTCATGTTTAAGTAAGGAAGATTGTTTTTCTGCCCTCCTGAGAAGAATCTAGTAGCAAAACTCGTTTATATTTTATTTCTCAAAAATTATTAAAAAATTGTTGACATAAAATCAATAATTATATAATGAGCTAACACGATAAATTCATATGACGTACGAGGCAATATTTTTTAATTTATTTCTAGCAAAAAATAAATTATCATATCAAGTACACGAAGAAACTGATAATGTTTATAAAACTCTTGATAAAAGTAATATTTACATTTAATTTGTATAATCTGGCATTAATATCTTTAGATCTTATTCGATCTTATTTCGCACATCAATGTGTCGATGTATCTAATGTAATGCTTAAAGAATCCCAAATATATATATATATATTCTATATCTTAAAATTCTGACGCAATTTGACGATGAAAGCCTCTCAGCAACCAAAGCTAATATCGTGCTATTAAAGCTTTTGGTCAAGTACATTATATATACCATATATATAAGACTGATGGTATCTAATATGTCAAATATGTTAATGAGTATTCCCGATGCATTTTTCCCGATTAATAATCTTTAGGGGAAAGCTTCTATTTTTAACATACACAAATATGTTTTTAATAAACATTAGGTACATAAAGTAAATGATTATTGTGTTTGTACATATAAATTAATATTGTGTCAAAGACATTGTAAATATTAAGTTAAATACTTTAAATTTCTAAATTTAACATTTTATAATTTTAATAATATATTGTAATTATTTTTTTTTACTTTTTATTTTGAGAAATTAATTTTAAACCATATTTTATTTCTGGGTAACAGTTACTTTATTTTTAATCGTGGTTTCGTGATATACATATATATGTTCCAGAGATTTTATTGTTTTATCGACGTACAAAAAGAAATAATAAACAAATGAAAAAGTAACGATAAAACTCAATAAATTTGTTTGTATATGGATCGAGTATGTTGTGGTTCCATCGGGTTGCATTTACAATACAATCACTTGTCCGCGCAATCAAATGCCAATACATTACAAGATCGATATAAATCGTAATTAATTGAAATTCTGACATAATAGCCGCGCAAGAGCCATTTATTTCGCCAGACTTTGAAGATCACAAAACTCATTAACTCACTATTGATATCGAGTACGTGACAAATCCTCAAATCACTCAATAGAACGTGTCCCTGCATACACCTAGCTTTCACTATAGGCACTAATAGCCCCTTATTAATTCGTAATAGAACGTGGAAAGATTTGCACTTGAGAATTTTAAAGTTTCAAATTGATTCTTTATAGATTCGTCATATGGACATAAATGTAATCTGCGAATTTGATAATATGAACAATGTACTCGTTTTTTGACAATTTCTCCTCTTGAGAAATACCTATTGAGAAAAATAATGAAAACTGTGGACTTGTTAATTATGCGATGCTTGTACATTTCACTGACAAGACAAATAACTTCCTCTTGCTTTCTTTTTCGTTTTTTAATTAAATTTTTAATTAATTTCTTCAATTCCAAATATTCTCTCATTACAAAATGTTATCGCGATCAGATACTTTTTGCGCGAAATCGCAATCGTTTTACAGAATCGGAGTTTTTTTCTCACGAAGAAGTAGTTTGTTAGACTTGAAGTGCCTCAATCTTTTTCCTCATATTTTCTTGGCAATCTAATATGTGATCGATGAAGGGAAACGATGTAACGTAATATATAAGGCGTGTGACAAATTTGGGGCAAATACTATTATTTTATCTATTAATATTAAAGTACAGAATTCTGTGCTCTGATGCTGAAATTATTTAAAAATTTATACTTTGCAAATAAGGTGTAAAATTTTTATGAATTAAACTCTCTTTAAACAAAAAAGTCAATAGGACAATATTTCTTCACTGGAAAAAAAATCATTGCACCTAACAATATCTGCGGTCGAATACGTGCAAATAAATATCAATGTAATAAGAACTAAATATTTTGCACGTATTCGACCGCAGATATTGTTAAGTGCAATGATTTTTTTGTTAAGTCGAATAATTTTTTTCATGTTCGAAAGGAATGAGAGCGAATAGTCTAAGACATTCTGTACATCAAAAACATGAAAGCTTTATCGAGTTTGAATGTTGAAAGAGTGATATCGTCAAGATAGATTGATGTACAATATGTACGTGAGTCATACAAGACAAGCTTCCTGCATTTAAAGTAGTGCAGCTTTTTTACAACGTCATTTTTATTTGCCATTTTTGCTGTTGTTTTTGCAAGTCTCAAAGCACACTGATACGCGGATTAAGCACGACCCGATTCTTAATCTCCATGATAGCAAACTTATCTCAGGATATCCATTCTAGCAGCAATCTCCAGAGTCATTAAAAAAGTTTCACGACCTTAAATTAGCTTGTTAAGCACGTCGCGAATAATATGCAATATATTGTGCGCAGCGCAATACAAATTTCAGTTACTTTATTATAGCTTTTTTTATTATGTTATTTACAAGGAGAAAAATTTTTAAAGAGAAAAATATAGAATTATATATATATATATATATATATATATATATATATTAATTTAAAAAATAATTAGTTTAGGATTATGATGTTGCGTAAATATGCGACATTATCAATATTGATATGCATCATTATTGCTTTTGATACGAAACGAGGTATATAATCATATACATTCCAAATAAATTTGCAACTTTTCACGTGTAGCGAAATCCACTCGATATTGCTCGGTGTTTTCTGTGTGAAAAGCAATCTAATTAGGGATGGTTCCGCATAACTTTTCATTCAAAACAAAATTACTCCATATTGCTTTCCAATGCTTTTAGATTAAAAATAGATATTAAAAGAAAGAAATTATTTTTAAGTATTAGATGGTTGTAAAAAAAAAATTATTTTACGCGAAAAGTTTAAATCGAATTAAAGTTCAGTATTCTTTTGGAATTGTTATTAAAATATTCTCTCTTTCATGGTGACTTTTTTCTTACACTTTCCGGTATCTCGTACGTATTGCGATGATGATTTAACGAGAACGAGTTAATCCGATTTTTGCGCAACTCGTAGTAAACTGTTTGTTGAAAAATACTTCAAATAAAAATCACGACATATTAAGGGAAATATACAACGTAATAATTTTAGTATCTTGTTTTTCATTGAGCTTATAAGGATAATCTCTTACAATTTTTTAATAAAACATTTACTATTTTATTTCGACATTCAAAAAAATATAGAATGTTGAATAAAAGAGTATTAAAAAGTAAAAAATCAGTATATTAAAAATCAAATATTATTATTTTATTAGATATATTATTTTTTAAACTAATGTAAATTTAATATAAATGAATTCGAAATGTTTATTACATTTGATGCAAGTGCATAATCGGTGAAATAAGAGTGACACACGTTAAAATGTTTTTGAAAATTAACATTTTGCATCTTAATAATAAGTTCTCGCATGTTTTCAAGTGTCATAGGTAGTTACAAACTAGCGATAAACTTTCTTTTCAAGATTTCCCTCAGAAAAAAAATTTAAGTCTAGAGAACAAGCCAACTACGAAATTTCCGCCACGTCCAATTCATCGATCAGGGAATTGTCTCTGTAATACATGACGTGCTTATGCATAATGCGTAGAACAACTGTTGTGCTTACCATATTGTTGGGTTTAGTAAGATTTTCTAATAAAAATAGAAGCATATTTTTTTCAAATCAAATACTAATTTAAAATACTTGTGTTCTGTTAAAGATTTGTTAATAACATAACAATTAACACTTACTTATTGTACGAATAAACTCGATTATTTTATAATTTATTTAATGAAGCCAGTTTAGATTTTCTGCTGGATTAATGCATATTTTTATGTTTATTTCTATGTAATTTACAAAAATATTTTTTATTAGTACGTAAAACAAATATAAAAATAAAATTTATCACGAATTATTATCGACAGTCACAGACATGCATATCATTATAGTATGTAATGCTATAGCCTCATCGAAACACTTGAAACACTTCAACGTGTATTGTTTTCATTCTTTAATCAATTACGCATCGAACGTAATGGATAACATTTTAAACATTATTTATAAATATCAATAATTATTTTTAATTTTTAAATGTCTGAATAAATTTTTTATAGTTTTAATCCTACATGTATAATACTCCTTTAATCAATGTTTTTTTGAATTTCTTTCAAATAAAATATGTTGCGTTTCTTTTAAAAAACTCAAAATATCTTTATAAATATTTTAATAAGAAATTAGTAAAAACTAAATTACTGCGTTGTAATTCTCCTTATCTTAATCTCCTTAATACAAGCGATTTTTGTTCAAAATATTTTTTTCTTACAACAAACAATTAATAACAATTTATGAATAATATTTTTAATACTCATGTTAGATAATTTATCTTGCATATCTTAATTTTTCTTTTTTTACATTTTCTATTTGTGTGTTGCATATGAATTTAGACATTTTCTTACGTACGTGTTCTTTACCTGTTTAATATTTTTATCGTGTGAAAATATGCTCACATGGTTGAAAATTTCATAAAGTATGAAAATGAATGACATATCGAGTAGAACAATTATTGAATATGTCAATTGCATTAAAATCGAATAATATTTGAAACTTCAAATAGTTGTTGTCTGTTGAAAAAACACGTTCAGCATTCGAGAAAGAAAAAAATAAAGGACGCGATAATATTCGAGTTCGATATTGGCTGCGTGACTTTAATTACGATATGTACTGGATTATTTTTATACATTTCTTATCTGCAATCTTTAGTCGTACTTTATTGCTGACGGATATTATACTGTATCTTATACCTTTATTATTACTATACGGTATATTATACCGTAGTAATAATAAAGAAAAAAGTATTTGCATTGATCGTACAGTAAAAGAAAAATTTCGATATATGCATATTATAAAGAGATCGGCAACATATGAAAGTTGAAAATAGTATTATTTTAGCTGCACTGGAATCTTTATTATAAACGTGTGCATTGGAATATTTATTAAAAGTGATAAGTAATGTTTACATATTCGTTAATCTTCATCAAGATTTTAGTAATCGATCTTAAAGCTGATAGATCAAACTTTGACTCGTATTTATCGTTAAAGGCTATTGCAATATCAAGATATAATGTTAATATATTTCTAAAAAAAATCGTTTATCGTGTACATTTCAAAAATAAAATTTTTAAACGTGGAAATAAATTGATATTACTAATATGTTTCCTGTCTTTATAAGATTAAATAATTGTCTCGCAATATCAGAACGCTTAATCATTGTTATAAATCTGACAGATATCTATTTATTTTTTGAAAGTTTTATAATGTTTTTTATAAAATAAAAACATCGACTAAAATTTATGGAAAGGAAATAGAAAATAATACAATATACATATAATTGAAAAAAAAACCTAAAGATAAAAACATAATGTTATTTAATCATATTTCTATGTATCATTTATTCCGATATTTATATAGCAATTATCTCATAATATCGCAATTTTTATTATACATTATATTTGTAAAATCAACAGTTGAAACTTTAACATCTTTTATTTTAATAAATTTTATTATGCCAATTTATTGAATTATCAATACATTGATACAACAAAAACGTTTAGTTAACAAATCGGAAAAAGTGGAAACAAAAACAAAATATTTTTCCAAGAATCGCAAAATGAAGAGATAAAAACAGTATTTTGTCTACATATGAGAGTCTGTGTGTTATCTAGTTTATATTTTCATTTATCTTGAAGATCAGAAAAAATGAGATCGAAATAATATTCTTTCTCTATATTTATATCTATTCATAAGGGACGAAAAAATTGAACAATATATATTGAGAATATTGTTCGTCGTTAATCAGAAACGTAAACCTGACAAAAGAATGAAAGCGCACATTGCTGCTGTGGAGAATATAATTATAACAGCTAAAGATTGTGCTTGTGCATTTATTTATTATATATCAAAGAGGTTGATAACTGATATCGGTTTCTAAGATCATCTACTATTTTTTCTTTTATATAATGAGAGAAATATTTCTTGATTAATAATATAAAAAGGTTTTCACCGTAAGAAGGATAATAAAGAAATATAAATTTTCATTATCAATTTTCTAACAGTGAGTATCGGACGATAAATTCCTAAATAACTTGTGATGTTTATTATCGGAATATGAGTAATAAATAGCTTATTAATTTGTAGAAAATATACTAATTTTGAAAAATTATATATATATATATATACATGTTGATGTAAAAAAACGAATGAGCAAAGTATGGGAAATGTAACAAAAAATCGAATAAATATGCTCTTGTTCTTGGTAATAAACGAGAAAAAATATCACTAAATTTTTCAAAACAGGTGATCAACATTTAATTTAATTTTTCCAATAATTGATTCGAAAATGTTGAACAATTTGTCCATTTAATTTTTACGCTACAACGAAAAAATCAAAATGAATCTTGGCATGTACATGCGGTTCTTCAGTCATACGATCAACAAGTAATGAATAGAACACAGTATGGCATGTACCTTCATTATGTATATATGGGATTCATTATGATTATTATCGCTCGCGCGAGGAGACAATACAATAGGTAGTTAGGTTACTGTAACTCTGTTTCATACAGTCAAATATATGTATATGACTTCTATTCTTTAGCCTAAGGCGACTACGCTGCGACAGTCTCAATAGCTGATTAAATTAATCATTCCCACTAAAGTGAATTCATTACACGTATTATATAATTATCTCAATGAAAGCAATGTAAATAAGAGAAGATGAATTAAGTGAATTGTGCCATAAAGCAATTTTTTTTACAAAACAAACAATGATTATTGTCAACAAATATATACGTACATCGTTACGTATACGTTTACCTATTTGCTTTATTGAAAGCTCAATGCAAACGCTTGATGCGATTACGTTAATTAAATTGACAAATAATTATCTGCTCGGGTGCAAAGCTAACTAATTGAAAACAACAATAGAATGCATTTAATAAAATGGATATAGCAAGTTCCGAATTTCATTCGAATTTTCGAAACGAATAAAATGGCTGACGCGAGACAAATGCAATAGAAAACTTGATTGAAGCTAAGACAGACATACATCTGGATTGCGTATCGGATTGTAATCAAGTCACGGTTTTGCAGATATTATTTTTGCCGTAGATACGATGTCAAATAAAATGAAATGAGATAAGTTAGACGGAACACGAACTAAAGATTTTCCGACAAATCGAACATCCGGAATAATTTAAAACTAAGCCTCGAAAAATATAAAAACACCGCAATTTTAATATATTGCATTAATTTATAACACATTAAAGATAAATTTTTCAGAAAAAAGAAGCAAATTCTTAACATACATGTACGTATAATATCTCTTTCTTTCCGAATTTTATACTAATTTATAGATCGTAAAAGCACTTTTGAAAGAAGAAAATAAATGTATATTTAAAATAATTAGATAGTCAAATAATTGTCAATTTAATAGCTAAAATACACATAATTTATATTTTATTATATTAATTTCATTTATTACATTTTATTTTTATTTTTTATCAAAATGTAAGAGGTTTGGGTACGCTCCTCCAAAAAGCGCCTTCAATCCCCAGGGGGGAGAAAAAGTAATCTATCTATTTATCTACTTTTTATCAACAACATGAAAATATCATATAATTTTCAAATACTAAGCATCACAAATAAATTGAAATTTAATTATGCAATTAAACTTTTATATAAAAGATAACTGTTTTATACGACATAACATTGTTTGAGTAATCTAATTTGCATCATTTTGATCTAAGACTATGCTAATATATAATATACATATAAGGAAAAATTTTTAATCTGTATTCTATAGTCTAATATTTGGTTTTTTTGTAACATCCAGTAATAATTTATCTAATATATTATTACTTTTATTATTTGGTTTTTAAAATTATAGATTCTATACAATAAAATTATTTTTTTACAGTTTGTTTGTCATAAATATTTCTATTTTCATAAAGAAAGAAAATATTTTTATTTTTTCTCTAATTATAAAAAAAAAATTTTAATGTGGAGAAGAGACAAACTATGTACCTTTATTTAAAATTTAAAATTCAATTTAATGAGAGAGAAAAATATGAGAAGCATGACAATTACACAGAGCTGATAAGCCTTAGGTACAAGACTCACCAAGAATCAAGAGAAGCAGATCGGATACTGCTAGATTGAACAGATAGTAATTGGTGGCGGTTTGCATAACAGGATTTCGTCTAATGACGATACAGGTGACACGTTACCAAATACTCCGGTGACGAAGATCATGACGTAGACGAGTGTAATCGCAAGACAAGTGTTCAGAGGCAGATATTTCGGGCCCCAGATCGACTTTACATAGTCGGACTCGCTCAGATTCATCAGCTCCGTGATATTCGGATCGATGGTCAAGAGATATGTGCCCGAAAAATTCCATACTTCGCACGTTTCATCAGCCTAATCGATTGCTTTTCCCGTCAGTAGTGTCACGGTCGCGGTATCGATCGAATATCCATTCACCATATCTCGCGATCTCGCAGAGTTATATTCCCGAATGCGGTGGCTCGTATCTTCTTTTTTAAACAATCATTATTTCCCATCAGATAGGGTCTTATCTCGAGGAGAACGCACAGAAACTCAACACAATCGATGATTTCCTCGAGTCTCGATGTATCATTTGAATATCGCGCGGATCGGTACGAGGCAACTCATTGTTTTCTCTCTTAAAACGATAATCTTCGTTAAAAAAAACTGACTTTAATCGCGCAAACATTTGATAAAGATCCGGAGAACAAACTAGTTTATTTTATCGAAAAAAAATAGCGAGACACGCGGGATGAAAAGTGTTCTACTCAACAGACCGTGGACAAGTGACGCCCGAGCGCTCTGGTCTTCGCTGACGGACCACGCGCCCATCCACCACGCATCCAACCCTTAACTTCAACCCCCTCGAGAGAGAGAGAGAGAGAGAGCACCTCTCTCAATCCTAGCTGCGCCACCCGTCCAATAGGATCCTGCTGATCGCCGATGCATGCAAAACATTCCAAATATTCGACGCATATTGTTTTAAACGACACGACGCGCCAATACTATGTAAATTCTAGTTGGATGATATTGGATTTATCATAATCAGACGATTGATTAAGAATTATTTAACTCGAAGAATTTTATATATAATGGTCCGTTATTAGCGGTACAATCAACAAGCAAGTGAACCTATATGGAGAAAAGCAATAAATCGAAAAGATGCAATACAATTCAGAAGAAATTTTCATAGAAAAGTGATTCTTCAGAAAATTTAGCATGAAAATTGCGAAATATTGGTAATATTTTTTCGCTTTTCTTTATCTCACATAGTTTTTATTGCGTCATATTTTATTTAGAAAAATGAAAATCACTTAAATTAAAAAACAATTTATTTGTAATTATTTTTTAACTAAAATGTATTATTATTCATATGCTTTGATAATCATTATTGATATAGGTATATTAAACATCTCGCAAGACAGTTAAAAGTTATTCTAACTCAAAAATATAACGAAAAATATTTTTTTAAATATTGAAAAAAATGTTTTTATTTAAACTAAAATCTAAATTAAAAATTTGTTAATTTTAAAAACCGAGATTTTCTGGAATTTAAGATTAAATAAAATTATTTTATAATTTTTAATTCAATTTTTCAGAAAATTTCCAATCTCTTTATTTTATTTATTTGAACAAATAACAAGCTACTTGATATATAGACAGTTTGATTTTAATATTTTATTTATACGTATTTGTTCGACGAAAGTGACAACTTTATATAATTTTTTATATATATTTCAAGTTGAAATTAAATATAGAATATATAGTTGTGCATACACACACTACACATACACACACAATCCCTGTGAATAATATAACTTTTCTAAAAATTTCATTTTACATTGAAATTACATTGAATGTTCTGTATAACGTGTTAGTGTACGATCTCTATTCAAATATAAATTATTTTAGATGTTAGAAAAAAGAAATTTTATCCGCTCAATATAAATTGTTCTATTCGCATCTCTATTTGCCATACAATTCATTGCATTTCTCTTAAAATTTCTAAAAAGATAATAATTTTTAAAAGATTAAATAAAATGTCTAAAAGATTTTTTCTAAAAGATTAAATACATTGATATTTTCTTTTTTCAAGGGTGCTATTAAAACCAATGATTGCATCCGCTGCATTTGCAAACAATTTATTATCATCTATTATCAAATTCTGTTTCTTCGATGTAGTCCGTTACAAGTATTCCCATAAGTTATTTTATTTTGAAATATATTATCTTAAATTAGATTTAATAAAAAATGATAGAGTATTTATTTCTATATAAAGTTGTCACAAAAATAAAAAATTATAAGAATCATAATAATTTGATGCAATTGTACATATAAAATTATTATCATTATATATTATATAATGATAAATAATGCAAATAAATTTGTTTATATTAAATATATTTGATTTATTTTAGGAATTATTAATTAAAAAGTTGCAAAAGTTTTATATAACATATGATAATAATAATAAATTATTATATGTTATATTTGCAACTTTTGCAACTTTTTATTAACAAATAAAAAGTCAAGTATATTTAATATAAAAAAATTTATTTATTTGTATTGTTCTATATAACGTTCTTAATTTTGTGAGGTAAATTTCTACTTTTCACTTTACGGTGTTTTATACTCACAGTTTGTTTAAACTGTTTTGTTAGATATATTATTTATTTCATCTCATAGTTTGTTAATGGAACATTCTCCTACTTGCGTACAGAGACCACATTTGTTTTACTTGAATGGTTGGCATGTAATTTACCGAATTACACACGTGTTGTAATTGTACATTACATGTTGTGACGCTCATTACTGGAGTAACTTCACAAATATGACCAACATTTTATCTTCCATAGAAGTAACTGTATATGTGCACATCACAATCCATAAACGCCTCATTTTACAATGACAATTTATGTCAGTGCGTAAATATAAAGTTTAGACCTGTATATGACACCAAGGCTGCGCATTTTGAAACCTTGGTATATCTTAGATGTAATCAGAGATCCTTCCGTGTCACATCAAATGTGCGCGTTAATTATGAAAATGTAGTAATTAATTGTCAGCCACATTTCATATTAAGTATAACTTTTAAACACATGGTATATTTAAATATATTTTATAAAAATTATAGTTACATATATTTATAAGATACAAAAAGTATAAAAATATTGACTAAAAAGCTGAGAATTCAGTATTTTTTTATCATTCACGTTTAGAAATTATTAATTTAATTTTAGGAATATTATTTTTGACGTCAATTTTATGTACCATTATTAAAATGTTCGTGGTTTCAATGTTAAATTTATTCAAAGAAATTGTAGGTACTTAAATTTTTTTAATAATTTATTTTTCTAATATTACAAAAAATTTATCTTACATTTAAATATTGTAAATATAATACATATTGAATTCTTTTTGACCTCTCTCTCTCTCTCTCTCTCTTTCACTTTACATAAAAATAAACTCTTGAAATAGATAAAACTTTGTTTTCGTAAAAAATATATTATTTTTTGTATGTAAATAAAAATGCTCTTTGGAGAAAAATATTTTATTATTTATGTGAAGTAAAACTGCTGCTCTACTTTCAACAACTTACAAAATTACATTAGAAATAAAAAATTTTAAATTGTAAGAGCCCTCGTTTTTCAAAAAAATTTTAAAAAGGAAAAATTTGTGCGTACATAATTTATTTGACGTAATTACTAATATTCAATATAATTGATTTTTTTATCTTGATATTAATGATTTTTTGTGTTTAATAAAATATTAATATTAAAATTATAAATAACATCGTGCTTTATAAAGAAATATTCCAAAATATGTGTCAAATAACTGTTATTCTATAAATGGATATTATTCATGCGCGAAAATGGATAGTTAAAATTTCCATTATTTCACATTAAGACAAGAATAAATAATGCGTATAAAAGCAAGCATAACTATGTAAATCTCAATGCTAACATGAATTCCTGCTTGATCCCAGCATCATAAATTCGTGGAGTGTAACCCAACTGCGAATGAAAAAGAGAAAGAGAGAGAGAGAGAGAAAAATAAGTTTTGCGAAAATATTAATTCTCAATATATACGATATCCGAGAACGTGCCACGAATATTTAACTCGCTAAATGTATTCTAACAAATTTCTTTCCTCTTTTCTCTTTCGTGGTTTCCTCCCACATACATCGTGTATCGTTGAATGTACAATAAGAATATTTGGATTAGCCTGCATAGAATATTTTGGGAATAAAGTATTGCTATTATATCTTCTATACAAGAAATCGGTTTTTTTTTAATAATTATACGTTGTATCACATTTTATTCTCGCGTGGAACTGATTAAATATATTAAACATATTATATATTCATTTTAAAAGGTCCATTTACGATGAATAAAATCAGAACAGTAAAATCGTTTGGGCGAATTTAATTTTCCACGCAACAGACATAAAATGTTCCATTTTTCTCAATTATTACGCTTTTATCGTTGCTAATAAATGCACTTAACGTCATAATGACTTTAATTAATGATGGCTTACGTTGAAAATATGATCTAAATTATATAATATTTTTATTAATTTTATATTATTTGTATTTTATTTTACTTTTTCTCTAAATTTTTTAGAGTGGGATCTCATTCCAAGAAATTTAGAGTTTTAGAGAGTCTTTTATTTATCGTAGAAAAACAAAAACCTTTGAGTCATTGTTTTGTCATAAATTTTGATATAAAGATTTTTCTTCTTTTTATGAATAGTATCATTATCATCACAATATACAGCTCCAATTTTAAGATTATTTTTGTGTATACATATATAGGATATATGTATATATGTAATACTAATATTAATTTTTAAAGAAAATTTAAAATAACGAATTAAAAATAATAAATTCCAATGCTTAATCTTAATATATATTATATAATCGAAATTTAATTTCAAGTCAAAATTTATATGTGTGTATAATTTTATATAAGTTTCAATAATTATTATTGTTGTAATGTCAAAGTATCATTGTATTGAAATCGCATATAAATTTGAGTAAGTTTCAATTCTTGATGTAAAAGTATTGCTTCAATCTGACATGAAACTGTCGGAGTACATTGTCGTGATTTTGTTTTTCGATCTAATACGTTTATCGCGTAACTTTTATTCTTTGAAAAGAACAAACGATCGGACGAATTTTCGTTTAAATAGCACTTTTATTCGTATCCCTCTGGAGAAATACCTGTATTACATGCACGACCGATTTTTCCATTTACCTTTAAACCGCTCAATGCGTTCGAATGGATTTCTTTTTCTGAACTGTCTGTGAACATTACACAAAAATTTTCACGAGATTGCCAATATATTCTAACAATAAGTGCTACTTTTTATTCATCCGCAATGTATAAACTGCAAATTACACATACACATACAACTCAATCTATTAGATAAACATGCATCTAAAGTTCATAATTTTTAGGAGCCTGTAAACAAAATCAAAATAAAAAAAATAAATGTTACATTAATTAAAAAAGTGTACAATGACATTTTTAATCATATTTTTAATTATTATTATTATTAAAGAATATATACAGTGAATCTCAATTTTTGTATATTATATGTGTGATTATTTCGAAAATATACTCCAAGTAAAATTGATGGAAGGAAACTTTACGATGGCTTTCATCTCTCATCGAGGCGTCAACATCTTATTTATGAATGAATCTTGTCGTACATGTCTGGAATATCCTTTCCAATCTAGGAACTAAACATCTTGCGCCAAGAAGCTATTTCTATTGATTAA